CATTTAGCTTGTCTGATAACCACAACGTACATGCTAAACATGGAACCTCACTATATGGGGACGTGGCTTTGAGATTAAACCTTCCTAACATCGATGTAGTTCGCTTCAGCCTGTCCAGGTGGAGTAAACATTTTTCTAATTTTGTGGGGACGACTGGGAATGAAAGAAAGGGAAGACGAAACGAGCCCATTACAAGACGCCCTCCACGTAAACGACCCCACCTTGACATCGAAGATATCCCTTCCTCATCAATGCTGCAATTTTTCTTAGTGAGGCAAATACCTAACAACGAAAGAAATTACTAAGTATGCATTTGACCCACCCCAAAAAAGTGACCATCTGCGATATCTCAGTCATTTCTCGACCGATTTTGATGAAATTTTGCACCGATTATTGTTACATAATATAGAAACGGGATCTGATCCGACTAAGCGATTACGTGATCTTGACCGGAATTATGGGCAAAAATGTAGCCTTAGAAACACATTTGTAATTATTGCTAGTTACTAGCAAACTTTATCAACAGTTTGATACCCACGAATTGTAGGGCAGTTTATCCCGAAAATTTTAAGTATAAATATATCAAAATCCGTTAAGAATTGGCTTAGTTATTCCAATTTGAAGTTCAGAAATTCCTGCTCGTGCTACGAATCATTGTCATTGACAACGACGCAAGACTAATAAATTGAAAACAAATTGCATTCAAAACTGTAAACAGCACAACTAATCGTTGCTTCTGTAACATGCTTGGTAAACTGCGTGAAATTGTTGTTGTTGGTTTTGCACCTCCAGATCAGGTCTTTTGGTGTTTAGTAATCTAGGCCGGACATTTTGACCAAAATGATATAAATCGGTTAAGAAATGACGGATTTATTCAATTTTAAACACCCAGCATTCAATAAAATTATTCCGGGCCAAACTACGGGGTAGTGCAATGCAGTCATCCAATGGAGAATCTAATCACCCAATTAAAAGTTATAAATAAACAAGGTCCCTAAAAAGGGGAAATCTTAGTGAGGGAGTGCAATCACAACTAATAAATAAAATTAGATTGGAGAATTTTTGCATCACCGCTCTCGGTACCATTTTTACTGGAAGCATTAATCGTTTAAATAGAACACTTGCTCCCTCAAAAGGTTCGATGATTTTGCATAGAGTAGCCAAATTAATATATCAAATTGAAATTTGTATATTTTTTTAAACAAATACGTAGCTCATAATTATTTAGCCATCATATCTTACATATCTACCTCAGTTAATTTAACCCACTTCTCGTTCACTACACAGTAAAAATGTATTCCTTCCTCAATTTATTCAATAAAACTAAGAATTCATGCGTATGCAAAGAAAAATTTATACTGCATCCAGTAAAAATGGTACCGAGAGCGGTGGTGCAAAAATTCTTCAATCTAATTTTATTTATTAGTTGTGATTGCACTCCCTCACTAAGATTTCCCCTTTTTAGGGACCTTGTTTATTGTATCTGAAAACGATTACAATATTGGAAATATTTTGGAATTTTTGTTATCTATAGGAGTGAGGGAACAAACCTATAACTTATGACCGTGATCGAATGAAAAGGTTGAAAATAAATACATATCCACACTCTGATCATAATTCATATATATGTATGCACACACTCTTAGAAAACTGGTATGAAATCATTACTGACCGGAGCACTTATGTAACTCTACCGGCGCGGTAATAACGGACATTACCGGTTAGTACTGTCGTAGTTAAACAACAATAAAATAAACAATATACCACTCAGAAACAAATTATTACCAATCCGGTAGGGAATTATTGCGAAATCAATACCAGTATGGAGCCAGATTTTTAAGAGTGCATATAAATATAAATACAACGTACAGACCTTCATTTTCACTGCCTGCATGTCGAATTACTCAACCGATTATTACTATTTCCTGTGCTAAGCTTGTAAGTAATTCACTATCGTAATAATCGGTCCTGTGGACAAAGTTCCAGTGCCTAGCTAAAATGTACATTTATGTATGTATATATGATATAATGTAGGCATATTGGTCATCCGCTTCTTAAGAATTAGACAATTAAAAATAATTTATCGTTAGGATAATATGTAAGCAAGCAAGTGAACAAAGACGTTGAGATCTTTAATATAGAATTTGGGAAACTACGTATACAGATTTACAATGTTGTATAATGTTAAGATATTCATAAAATTCCCCTTTATTATTCAAGGTTTTGGTTAAATTATCAACCTAATTAACTTGAAGTTAAAGTTTCATGTGTACAAAATGCAGGGTAATATCCAAATAGAATGTACCTTAAATGCGAAGTCAACCAGAAATCCCGTCCAGAAAATTCCAAGTAGTGCTTTTTGTTTGCTACATTTGTACGTTTTATTTGTTTTATTTTCTTCTCTTCGTAAGCGTGCATTGTGCTAATCATAGTAATTATCCTGCCTAACCATGTATTCGGAATCAACTTTACCAAGAAGATGTATTATCTTTATGAAACAAAGGAGTCAGTAGTTTTGTAGTGTTGACTTTTGTCACGCTCATTAATTTCGACCAGTCTCTTGCTTTATCTCCTTACCATTTACCAAGCAATGTTGGGCAATCTCCAACTCCTTTCTTTACTTCAGTTGTACGTGGTAAATAACGTTCCATAATGAAATTTAATACAAAGTAACTATGTATAAAAGTTATGCTGAGTTACATAAATCTGTGGATTCCTGACATAAATCAGATAATAGTCAGAATAGTTTTCACTCTAATGATAAATAAGCATTGTTGCATAGGATCAAGGAAAGCGTACGTAATTCTTGTTTGTCTAGTAGTAAGATTGAAGGATTCTGGCACAATTTAAACGCAAATATGTATGTACATATGTACCCATACCTACAAATATATTGGTACACTGTAAATATGGAGGGTGAACTATGTGAATCGTACCAAAATTGGTCATGTTCTGATATTTGTCTTATCGAGGTGGGAAATACGTACTGGTGAAGAATCAGAATTAGCATCCTGTCCAGGCGTCAGGTACCTCTCAGAAGAGGAATTTCACATGTAATATGTACGTACATACATACGTACACGTTTACTTTATTTTTATTAGTAGCAGGATTAATGTGTAAGTCCTTCATGAATTCTTAGGATTGTGTCCAATGTGTCCATCATTTAAATACAAAACGATGACGGTGGCTCAAAATCTCACTCGTCTCTAGCATTGTTTTAGAACCCCAACAAATTCAGCAACCTATCGCATATTTATACTTACCTATTTATTTGTGCCTGAGAATTTGTCAAAATTTTGGGGGTGGGATACTCCTAGGGGTGTGATTGATAAAGGGTGGCATCCACAGGGGTGCGATTGCTCGGAGGTGGCAATGGTGGGGTGCGTTAGACGAGGTGCGATTGATCGGATGGCACCATCCGCAAATCCCCACAGGATTTGCGGATAATGCCACCCGTACATAGTTCAAAAAATATTCAGGTTAAAATCAGTTTACACGAGTAGCGGAGGATATATGTATGTATTATATAAACAGAATTATTTATTATAAAGTTCCAAAATTTCTAGAATTTAGAATCTTATTACGATCCAGTTAGAAAATTGCATGCAAGCTTTCTATGTAGGAGATAGAAGTATCCGTTGCATGCTGTGACGATGTAAAAATGGAGGCTTTACCTACATATTTCTGAAACTCCAGTCAGTTATTTTTCGTTACGAATAACGCCTCCTCTAAAATTAATAGGTGCACCGTTGGCTTCAAGAATGGGTCGCATTCGTTCCACGATTTCCGTTACCTGAATTATTAGAAAACTGAACATTTGTGCTTGAAAATATTTTACTGAGTGATCGAGTTACCACACGTCCCGAGATTTCTACGCTTTTAAATCCACCACTGTGCAAGATGAGGTCTTCAATATGGGAAGAAAAGTCATTCTCTATGACGTCCATGTTCCAGAACTGGACACTTTTAACTCCTGAAATATTTTCAATGGTACTGTATATCGAATTGGAAGTACTCATAAGGGGCCATCCATAAATTATGTCACGCAAAAATCGCGATGTTCTTGACTACCCCCTACCCCCTTTAACATGTGTCACGATATCATTGGATCCTTGGACCCCCTACTCGCGTGACATAATTTAAGGACCGTCCTTAATTACTTAATTAATCAATCAATCAATACATGGTGATTTTCATACGCAAACGGCAACCTTCCCAAATACCTCGCATTCAAATTGATTACAGAGAGCATGCGCAATCAATTTGTCACCTTGTTATGCATAACAAGATGACTTGGAAAATTTGGATTTTCGCAAATTCACCAGCCAATTTGGCAGCCATGCTCTCCATCAAAATCAATAGAAATTTCTTAGAAATTCATTGAAACTGAAACAAAATATAACTGTCGTGAGTAAGTAAGGTGGCATTATTCTGCGTGTCACCTCATTTACATAAATCTCACTGTACCCATTTTCTGCAATATGGGCTTTCCATGTTGAATAAACACTGTCTCTCGCGAACGAGTCAAAATATGCATATGAGCTGACCAGCACAAAAAATTCGACTATACTCGCATTATAAAATGCTTATATTAAAGACTTGCCTCCGCCATGGACATACACCACTCTTTTTTGTGGGTGTGGCGGGTGCAAATGGTTCTTGGTTGTAGTCCACTCATTGAGCACTACACAATTCTTTAGGTAAATTCGTCTCAAATTTCTCAAGTTCCCCGTACTCATCTCAAATCGTATACATACAATCGTATAGCCGTGCATTTGCATTCTGACCTCTTTTCCGGTTGTCACGGTTACTGTTACTTGACTATCCTTCGTCTCAACACTACAATTATCTAATTGATATTTACTATATAAATATGACTCGTATGCAGCTGTATGACGTCTCTGAAATTGGAGTAAGTAATAAATAGCCAAAATCTGCAACGGAATAATTTTTTTGCATATGTACATACATATTTTATCCATCCGACAAGAAATCATGCCCTACTTTTATAGCTGACATAAAACCGACCGACCAGTGGCGCATCATTTGTATGAATGCACATTCGTCATAATGCACCGATTAAAGTTGTACAATGTACACGACAACTGACAAGAAATTTGTGAATGCCTGAAATTACGAAAATTAGGACGTGGTTCTAATTTGCTTGCCTTTGTTGCCAAATTAACCTCCTCAAGTAATTAATTTAGCTGCTATGAAAATAGGCGTGCCATAATTTCCTAAATAAGTGCTATTGCCAGAATATGGGCATGCTAATAAGCACAACTCTACTAATTATGCGACTTGCTGACTAACAGAAGATTAAATTTCAGCAAAATAACACTTCCAGTTAATCCTAAGCAAGATGAACCTGGTCAGATTTCAATTCGTCCTTCGGAGGACCATACGTAAAGCATGTCATCCATTTGAGGAATGTCAAGAAATTCCATCATTTACATACATTATTAATTCCTGTCGGTTTACGGCATGCATCCAAGTAAGTTGTGACAGGTCAAAATCTTTCATGTTCTTAATGTACGGGCCCTTGCATGGCTCGAATGCGTGTAAATGATAAGTTTATTTCTTTGAAGTAATCTTGGTCCAGTTGCTTCCCGGTTCAGTCCAGGAGTAGACTTATTTTATTAGACTTATTTTTAGAATAATTTATTCATCTGCACATTTCTCGCCATCGAAAGGTCAAACATTCCCCGTTACGAATATTCACGTCAAATTTGTACTTTTGGAAATTCAACTGTAATCTCAATTTTTACCTTTGACGGGTTGAGGATTAATGTGAAGGATTCTCTCATTGGTTTTCAAACCCTTGTAAGGCTCGATATTTACCTAATTTTATAGTTTCGATTGAACATTTCAAATTTAGCATTCATAGATTTAAATTTGTAACAAAATATCCAACTCTAATACTCCAATGGTGAATTTCCAGTTGAATAATTTTTTCCTTATATAGAGAATATTAGTGAAAATCATAATTCTTAATTACTACATATTTTTGCATAGCTTTGAGCTTTTACAAATTTTGCGAAGTCCTTGCATCAATTTACTACATATATTTCACTTTTAAATGTCAATAAATGCATACATTCTGCTTAATCACTTACCATGAATTTTACTTAATTATGATTCACATAAATTTTTAAAAAGTCATAGAATAAATATCTCAATTTTTGAAATTTTGCAGACTCTTCCCAAATACATATCTACTCCCACCCACCATGATTTCATACTACTTCCCCCACGGCGTGTCGTACATCGAAGGTCACAAAACCCGCACCGAATCCATTACTGCTCACTTGACCCCGTCCAATCCCCGTGCCGGCACCGGAGTCACCAACATGATGCACACATACGCCGAAAAGCTCGGAAAACCAGGTGACATCGGGGCTCAAATCTTATCAAAAACTTTGGGCGGATCTGGCTACACGCGAGCCAACATATTCCCCCTGTCACCCAAAACGGACGTAACGCCATGGCGCCGAGATGAGGCCGCGATTCTAACCTGCCTCCAAGAACAATGCGACAATGGCGACATGCCACCACACCCTCTCCTCTACAAGGTAACCCTCGAATATGACGACTATTTGGATACCCGCCCGACCAGAATTTACTGGGACAGTTATTTCATCCCAGGAAATGCCAAACTATACAACGTGGACACCTTGAGAGGTGCCAATTGTCACGGCATGATTGAAAATAAGTGAATTTGTTTAATGAAATTTTCTAAATTTATTAACCATTTTATGTATAAATTATAATTCGCATGTCCAAGGAGTTGCAGTTTTTGATAGAAATAATCTGGATTTCGTGCAGAAATTAACTTACTGCGTATTTGACAGGGTATAAAATTTAAAATTTACTCACGTATTTACGTGTTAGCAAGTACCTTAAATGTACATAGGTATGTATGTACATATTTACATACGTATGAGCACGTTGTCGTATGCATGTACATACATAAATATGCACGCTTACACATTTACACATTCGGATTAGTCAAACTCAAAGAACTTTGTGTCTCACATTACATATCACGTTTTGGTGATTAACTAAATAAATTGGTTTAAGGAAAACTTCCACTCTTCCTTAAACACATTACACTTTAAAAAATCAGAGAATAAGGCATTTACCAGGCGGAAACTAGATTTTACTATACCGCCATGGTAACCTTCATTAGTTACCTAGTGATTAATGAGCGCTTGTAACTAATCAGGGGTAAAAAACATTACTAGCGTAATAATAAGTTTACTATCAGTTTATTACCATATCAGTACTAATAGAGTCACATAGATATGTATAGTCACCGCTTGGTAATTATCGTTACCTGATTTTTTAGAGTAGAAATGCGACGCGTTATGTAATGTACACACACTGATCCTGACTGTATGAGCAACACATTTCGAAAATAAATAAACTAATCCGAGGTGATCATAGCTTTTTCTTAGGATCAAAGAGATTAAACTTGTCCAGAAATAAATACAACGAAATCGACAACCTTCTTCTTCCAATATGTCCAATAACAATAAAATTAATATCCTTGCTTAAAGCGAATTTTGTAATTGCAAATATTTATGCATATAATTCATTGATGTGGCTAGGTTTAGTGGTTTGGTTGCAAGGTGGATGAAAGGAAAATCGTTCCTACAAATATCTGTCTCCACTTTTCGTGTACCCTGAGACACCAGATATTAGGATATTTTTCCGAGGCTGGTGAATTTATTTGGCTAATCTATTTTGTACATAACTGAGAATTGCAAAAATTTACAAATTTTATTCGTTATTGATTTCGAGAGAAATGATTTACTGGACAAAGTTGCCCATTATTTTAACGACTTGCAGTCTCATTTCCTCCTATGATTCGATCAAACTTAAATTACATACTTAAATTTCAGTGATATTTTGCAGTACGACATTGAAAATTTAAAAGTTTTGGATACTTTTGTTGAAGCAGATTTAATAAATTGTGGAAAAACCGAACTAATCTCCAAGTCGAATATGGTAAATGCAGAATACGACTACTTGAGTAGAGCCCATCCTAGTAAAACTTTTTAAGCAAATCTTAAAGGCAAATCAGTAAGGTTGGGTATTTCGTCATGCGGGGTCTTCAAAAGTCCCTCTTTATTATAAATTCCTTATCGAAGCTGGGGTTTATGCAAGGCTTGAGGAAGAAATTAGAGGTAGAAAAGTAAGGGATAGAATTTGATCTAAAAAAGTTAGTGGTAAATTATTGCATCAAGGAATGAATATGAGGGAACGTGTTACCAGTTTATTTTATATTTGTCTTGTAGTAGTGTAGCTGTCATTTGTATGCTTTCTAGTTGAATGTCGGGTTGTAATTTTAACACTGGTCAGAGTGATATGTTGGAAGATGCAAAAAATTATGAATGCTAGAAACAAAGCAGCAAGTTATTTCATGTTGATGGGGACGAAGATTTTAAAATGTAATATTAAATAAAACTATATAAACAAGTGTGGGTAGTGAGATCTAAATGCCGTGATTAATAGATTTATGAATCACAATTACATAAAATCAGACAGATTCGAGCAGAAATTTGACTGTGTGAAATTTATTTAATACTTATTTGTTACAACCTGATAAGTCGTAAACATGATTTGCTCAATTATAGACTTGTAACGATCTTTCCATTCTGAAAAGCTTCTGATTTGGAACTACGGTAGCGTTTCTTTATATATTTCCCCTTGACGGCTGGTCTGATTAAAAAACGAATTCCAAGAAAAATCAAAGCTCGACCCTCCACGACAAATGTAATTTCTCCAATTGCACAAAAAATAGCAAAAAGTGCAAAGACGTGTTTCACAGTATTTAAAGACACCGGGTTCGCCTCGTTAAATACGTCAACCTCCTCCCTCGCATTAGACATCGCCATCGCGATAAGCTTCCTCCTTGTCGCTGAACCCGTTCCTTGCGCATCCATGAATTCCAACTGTTTCCCCAACACTTCTAAGTTCTCAAACCGCTTAAAAATCCCGCTTTCCACCAGCCCTCCAAAAACGTTGTAGATCTTACCCTGAACAAAATTTGGTTCCCCAAAGGTCAAAATAGTTTCATGAAAAGGAGTATCGACCAGCCTCTTCACGACGTACCGTCCCCCCAGAACTTTCATCATGTCGGAATATATTCGCAATATAGTGAGTGTGTCTGCCACCGCGAATGTGTCCACGTTTTCCAGCCACCTATTCATTTGTACCGGTAAAGCCCCAGACTTCGAAACGGCTTGGAAAAAAACATTGTCCAATTCCGCAATACAACTCAGCCTGGCATTAAACTTGGTCAGGATACCGGCAAACTTAAAATCGATATTTGGCAATATTTCCAGAATGATTTTATCACTTAGAGCACATGGCAACTGTGTCCATGGTGTGTCACGATTCTTCACCACCTTAAGATACGATACGATCGGAATGCTTGAGTCGACCAGGGCGGAAAAACTGTCCGGCACGTGGGGCGTACTTTGAACCGTCAAAGCAGCGAAGATGTACCCTTTGTACAAATTCTCCATGAGGATGTAACTCCCGAAAAAGGAGAACGTCAGAAATGAAAGAGCGGGCAGTCTTTTATCGAAAATTTTGACCAGCCCAGGTCCAAACTGACCGAGAAGGAGGGAAACTATGTTAATAAATTGGGTAAGAATGGATACGAATTGATTCGCGCGAGTGTGTCCCTTATTCCCCCTCGATTTGAATAGAGAGATTCCGACACAGACAAAAAGTGTAAGTAACCACGTGGTCAAATCAAAAGGGGAAAATAACGAGGCAAAACTGCCCCCAATTATGGTCCGGGTTTGAGTCGTTACTTGAAAGAAGAATTTTTCAAATTGGACGCGATAAATGGCAAACTTATCCAACTCGTCTAAATTGTAAGTTAACCCTACGTCAAACATGATCGAACCAATGACATCTTCATATCGAGCAATTCTAGAGGTATGCACGGTCGTCAAGTTGTATTTATGGGAAAGGATTGAATACAGACAGAATCTTGGGATTCCGAGTTTTCCCCGGGTAGTTAGAAGAACACACTCGACAGGTTTTTGATCGTCTTTCCAAATGTCGAGTCCCATATCTTGGATGATTTTGGGATGTCTCATATCGTTAAAATAGGATTGTCTCGCGTTGTCGAGAATATTTGGGGATAATTCTTCTCCTATCTTGATTGTGAGGTAGGCTTGGGAGTGAAGTCCACTGAATGGGATGTACACTCGATCCGGTTGATGATTGGAGTGTATAATTGTTAACCAGGTATCCCAATTCTTTACGTGATGAACAAATTTTCTTGAATTTTGAACATGCACAAAGATATATTTTGGTGTTAGTGGTTTAACCAAGGAACACAATTTCTCGAAGTCTTCTAGAGAGTTGTCCGATGCGTCCATTATGGCAACGAATTTGTGAGAAGTCCGTCCAAAATGCAGATTTTGGGGTGAATCATGATTGTTGAGGTGAGATGAGTCGTAACAATTTGGATAATTTATGATGATTGGAGTATCGTAGAGACGATTTATGTTGGGAAATATAGGGTTAATTTTATTCTTATTGCAGGAGAATATGTGTATGCTGTAGCCTTCGAAAAAATCCGATATCGACCAGAAAGTGTCGGCCGACGCGAATAGAAATAATACTATGAAAACGACAGACAAAACCGACATCCCTCTAGATTTCCTGCCAGGGTAAAAATATATGAATTTTGGTACTGATATATGAGAAAAGAATATTAAAAGCGTGGAATATATTTACTTACATCACGTAAACTTTATCTATCCTGCACTAACAAATCCGTTAGAGTCGTATACTGCCTCCACACAAGGATTAGTTTGGTAATAATTTCTTACTAGATTGGTAATAGTTTGTTTCTTGATAAAGTTTTTATAATACATATACTAAACTAAAAAATGTAATATTCTTTATTACCATGTGTGTATGTAGAGTCATACATGTTTATATTACTCAGACCAGTTATGATTTACCTAATACTAGTGATACAGTACCTAAGGTGTGGCTTGGTAAGTAACAAATTTTGACATGTGAGAATTATTTTATTAGCAAAAAAACTTTCGGTTCGTCCAGTGTGTTATTTATGTACATAGATTTGCAGATATGTTGACCATTTAGTCGTAATGAGATTTTATGTTTCGGAAATGAGAATGCTTAAGTGCTGATAAATATGTATACCCGTATTCTGAGTACTACAGGAAATTATTTAGTTTCCCCTCCCATTGCCAAGACAGCATGGCAATTCACTAATAATTCGATGTGACGCATGCATATATGTTTAATATTTCATGCTATAACTAATGTCCGTTCAGAAAAATAAAGACAAGATCTGGCAGAGTTTTTTCAGATAGAATTTTGTAATTCCATACTTAAGTACACATAATCTATCTATTGTGAGCATGGTTGGAAAATCTGTCGCCATTGTCAACTATACATAATGTCAATCCGTGACCAAGAATTCAAACTCGAGAGATAATTTCTTCTCTTTAGTTTTATTACTTTGGTCTGATGACCTTTCTCACACCCGGATGGGGAACAACGTGTCGTGGGAAGTAGCGTATTATGATACTTATTTTGCACACAACTTACATATTAATCCTTATGAGCGATAAGGATGAAGTTGACGCTTTTATGAGCACACGTTTTAAGATTTGCATATTTGTGGATAGGATTTGAAAAGTGTTGATGCAATCCACTCATTGTGTATTCATCATTTCTATAACTTCCAGACTTGAATACATATTTATGTACATATTTGTTTTCCAAGCCTAACATTTATCATGTCCATGGCAGTACATACATACATAAGTACGAAGGAAAACGAATACATAGAGTAGTCATAATCTGCCAATTTGCTGATATGCGTCAAATGGCTTTAGATTCTGTTTCAGAGGCCGCACATAAAGTGTGCGATCGACTTTCGGCGAATTTGAATCCCTTCTCCCCTGGTGTGACATATGTATGTCCCATGTTAAAATTAGCATGAGAAGGATATGACCCTTGACCCCTACCTGCCGTGTGCGGTCACTTTGCATAATCCCTTTTCCATAACGGTTATATTGCAGAATTTTTATTCCATAAAAGTCACATGGCATAAGCAACCACTTTCCATAATACATTTTCTCATAAATCATAAAAAAAGGAATAACCTTTGATTAATGAGAACCAAAATCGTGTACGTTTCAATGATATTCATTTGTCTGATATACAGTCTTACATATATTTGTCTTTTACTACTGCTCCGAGTTCCAAGTGATCCACGATTACAGTAGCCGAATGAGCCGAATTATTATATTACTTACCAAGAGGGTATTTTATTCGTCAAAATCATTCAATTGGGTGTCTAGAATTTGAGAAATAGAATGATTTTTATGCAAAAATAAAATAAACTCGTGCTAAGTAATATAATAATTAAGCTTATTCGGCTACTGTAATATCGTGGATCACTTGGAACTCTTATAACAAATGGAGCAGTAATATCGTGTAACTTTTAAACCTTTAACTGCGAATGTATTTGCTCTGCCTGCAAAATTTGGCTTTCTTTCTGCGTATACAATATCGTCCTTCCAGTGGAACTTTTTGATCTACACACGTGGTATTCAGTACTAACATGATAACAATTCTTTTTTGATTGAAAGATTTCTATCAAAAGCAACCAGGTCCTCATTTTTGGCATTTTTGATAATTTTTAATAAATGTTTAATAAGTCCGGGTCATTATTACTAGTAAATATTTAAAATTTAATGGTGTATAATTGATAGAAATAAAGAAGAGGAGATAACCAGTACATATATGTAAAGCAGTGGTATGCAAAATGACCTTGTATGCAAAGTGACTCTTTAGGTTAAACGCAGTAGGGGATAATTTTGTATGTAAAATGCATTATGCAAAGAGACATGTCACCCTACCTGCCCCTCCCCTCCCCTCCCAAATCGATTACAAGCTTTTTGCACAGGTCCTCATGGGTTTATACTGCGTTGGATAGGACAGAAAAAATCTCATCCGTTAATCCACTCAATAATTTATTTATTAAATTCAACAACTATTTACACATATCTGCATACCTATGTATGATTAACGGTCACTCGTCTCGTCCAATTTGAGCAGAGTGGATTGCGTCAGCCTGAAAAAGTAATACTGACTGACCATATTCCGCCTGTTTAAGCAGCCGAGTAAGCCTCCACCTTTTTTAAGTCAACACCAAAATTTTTGAACGATCTTGTAATCATTAAAACCAGGATTTGATATTGTGACAGGCAAACACGCATTTGTAGGATAATAAACTTTTGGTGAAAAATCTACATATGTATGTAGGTTCTCGAGTTAACGTGATTGATAACATTTTCATTTACGTCACTGGTTTTTAGGTACGTATGCTACATAATTTTATGTGGTATTAACTTGCATTACAGAATAGCTATCCAATTTGAGACATATTTATTTATTAGTTTCTAACTGTTTTGTGTAAATCTTATAATTACACTAATCGACTTCAAAATAGAAATGGTATACGTAAAATAATGTAAATTATGATTGTTATATATGTATGTAGGTGTGTACATTAGGTACTAGGTCACACTATTTATGTACATACATAATAAACTCTTAAAATTTCAGCACCAACGCAACAAAAATGATATATTCTACACATATCGCGAACGCGTTTAAGACGCAGCAAAATGCGACATCTATTGTCGTAGTGATTACCACAAGCAAGTTGGCAGTGACCCAAATTGACCAGGTTCACAAATTATCAGGTGGAATTTCAGGTATGTGTAATTATGTGGGGCAGGATTTATTGACAAAAATTAGATTTAATGCAAAATTCAGTGATACACATGGGATAGATAATTCCATCATTGAATGAATAATCCACACTATAAGAAATCTGTTATAGTCACTCAGGTATAGATTTTTCTATAATGTATTTAAGTTGCTACCGCTTACAATGGAACCTTTTTTCAAGCTACACGAGATAAGCTTAGTGACATATGCTAAAACATCGAGCTAAAAATTAGAAATGACGTGGTACTTATCTTTCCGTTGAATGGGCACTTGGAAGTCAAATATTTGAGGGCAAAGTTCACAGTAGCGGCCTGTTTTTTTCTCAAGCGGGCGAGAGGAGGAGTGAAAATTTTCTCCTTCGAGTTCACTCCGCTCCCTTCACTCTCGCGCTAGTTTCGTTACTAGTATGCAATCAATATGCATTTCCAAAAATATAAAACGAAATGTGGTAATAAAAATAAGTCGACTTTAAGGATTATGATTTCTATTTAATTAATACATTAATTAATTAGACACTTATAACTTATAGAACCCATCGTCACTTTCTTATTACGGATAGGTGGATAGTAGGATTTTAAAAAGCAAATATAAAATTATATGAATGTATGTATGCACGAATTTACGAGATTGTTAAATTTTGTCAAAAATAATATACATTGAATAAAGTGCGAGCGTGTGAGGATAAAGGGAGCGGAGTGACCTCGAAGGAGAAAATTTTCACTCCTCCTCTCGCCCGCTTGAGAAAAAAACAGGCCGCTACTGTGAACTTTGCCCTCAAATATTTGACCTCCAAGTGCCCATTCAATGGAAAGATAAGTACCACGTCATTTCTAATTTTTAGCTTAATTTTTTAGCATATGTCACTAAGCTTATCTCGTGTAGCTTGAAAAAAGGTTCCATTGTTAGTATTAAAATTATATCGGTATCAAAATTCGCTATCGATATGGTAAAACTTTAATACCAAGTTTTTATTACTACTGCTTCACGGTATTCCTTACTTATCGACTTTGGCACACTCTTAGAAATCCAGTATTAAAATTATTTAAAATAATACCAGGCGATATTCATACATAACTCTATCAACGTGGTGTTGATAAGCAATACTGCCTAATAATAACGATGTATTAGAGAATTACCATTATAGTAAGAAATTCTTACGGACTGGTAAAATTTTAATACCAAGCGGTAGTAACTTTAATACCGAGAAATCAATACCTGTCTGACCTTACCACATTTCTAGCAGTGTAGAGTCATCTGATAACCTCTTGGAATAATTTTAATACTGAATTTTAGGGGTGTACATATACATATATTAGTCATTTAAGCCAATCTGTGTAAATTAATATAAATCAATCAATCTTGAAATAGGGAACTTGGATGGATTGAGTGGAAACCTAGGTTTCGCAAGTGAGTCGAAAAGTCACGCCGAGCTAACTTTTGTCCACTCGAAGTTTAAAATTCGTCGTTTTAATTCCCACCGATGGGTAAATAATGCTCCTGAAGAATACATGACTGTGATCGGGGTTGATGATGCGGGAAGCTTTGTGGCCGAACTTTGTCAAAATTATCCCATCGTGGCCGACAGATCCTATATTTTTGACCACTTTGGGAACATTCGACATCAAAAGTATGGTTATGGACATTTCATCGACGAGCACGGGCTTGATTGGAGTCGGCAGTGATTAAAAAACAAGAAATATTATGGCACCATAAAATCGTATTTATGTTTTCTCGGTTCCCTGAAACTGCATCAGGACAAAGACGTACGTCGTTAGAAATCCAAATATCTAAAATAAATAATCCAGAAATTTAAAAATTTAAAAATTAGTTTCAAATTTGCTCAATGAAATGAATATATAGATTAAAAAGAATATATTTACTTATGGCTTGCTTACCGAAGTCACCGTGGTTTTGTTCAAGATAAAATAATTCCCTGGGCTGATTAGCATTCCGTTCGGCGATGCCATCATAACCGTCAGAAATCCTTGCAACTAAAAGGATATTTGCCAATTAAAAACTTTGCGCAACCCTGTTCACACATATTGCAAATACCTATTTCTTTTTCTCACCCTCATCTGCAGCTTTAAAGGGTACCTCTCCATCCCATAATTTCCCCACGTTTCCACCGCCCTTCTCGCCTCGTCGCCCAGATTTGTCGACACGATGGGAAGCACACTTATCATAATTGTGTTATTCGCGACAAAGCAAATCACGCAGATCGCAACCCCGTTAAGAACCGGGCTATCCGCGGTGTACGCTGCTGTGGCCCGATTCGTTAAGAGAAACACGTCAATCACCCAAATTCCCGAGTAGCACAGCAACATGAGGATAATTTGGCGAGAAAATTCGCGATTAAAGGTATCCAGCAGACTTTTCAGGTTTTGAAAATCTCTAAGATTTCGCTCAAAATCAGTCCCATCATTAATTTCGGTACAATTTTCCGTAAAAATGAAAAACCCAAGTTGAATCCCTTGAGCTATGGCGGCAATCCAAAATATATAATACGCTTCACTAATCGAGGTCAAATTCTTAATTGATGCGCCAATCGCGTACAATACTATTTCGCACCGAGAAAGTAACCCGGTTTCCCAAATTTTTGCAAAATCGCAAAATTGTAGTACTCTAAAGTACGCGTTGGGAACGAAAAGAATTCCTGTCGAGATTAAGATACAGACTTTCATGTGACGTGCAGATTTTTCCACAAATTTTGCTACATTTTCAAAATTTCGTTTTTCAAGATTCTCCAAAATTTGAGCTAATTTTGCATTGAATTCGATCACTTTCCTCGCATCGAGCAGGGTCATGAGACGAATACCCGTGGACACAAAGAGGATCAAAGTTGTGACTAAATGTTCGCAGAATCTTTCCGTGGAGGACGACGATCGAGAAGAGATTGTTTCGTCCGTCTTATTTTGCACGAGTTGTAGGATGTCGTTAATACTGAAAAATTCGCCCAATATTTTCCAAAAGATGGAATAAGAAAGGTGGATTAGGAGCAGGAAAAAGGGGACAGATTTTAGTGAAAAGGTTAAATCGCCAGTGTAAACTAACTGATATGGAAGATACCCAAAAATTTGGGCCGATTTTGTAGGAAACTTTAAAAGTTTGAAGAATAAAGATGTTCCTGAATTGTGGGAAAAGTCAGATAATGACGGTGTTGAAAGATTAGTTTTACCTTTCTTTTTTGAAAGGGGACAATTTGTTTTAATCGTTTGGTACGAAATTACTTGGACGCAATTAATTTCAGAATACATTTGTATTGATAAGCACAAAATGTTAGCTGTGAAGCCGGTTGGGGAGTACGAAGCGGAATGAGGTTGATCTTGCAAATTTTCTGATTACATAAGTTGATGCTTGTTATCACCAAAGTGCATAATTATGTAAGTATGTGAGGTGGTTTTAAAAATTCAAAACCCATTAACCAAATTGGGGGTGGTTTAGTACATATTGAAGAATTAATTGTGAATTTAAATTCGATAATTTGATTTTTCTTTAGAGAATATTCAATTAATTTGGCCCCAATAATAGCTGTCGAATATGTGTAAATGTGTACATATTGCAGTTTATGTAATCTCGAAAATCGATTCGATTTTCAAGATTAACCGGATTGTTTGCCCTTTTAATTTAAGTGGTTCAAATATTATGCACCTGTTGTTGTGGTATTGTCGAATTACCATTGATGCTTCCAATTAATACTTTCAGAAATAATTAACCCTGATGTTACCAGATAATTAGCAGAAATATTTAGTTGCGTCAAGTGATCCAGAGTTGTCTTAGGTAACAAGTAATGTGGTCCTCGTTGGATGCGTGAAAATTTGGCCAACTTCATAAAAACTTTCCGTAGGTTGATAATGTAAATAATAAATTAATTAACTGCAAGTATTTATTATATTGTACGTAAACAAACTTTCAAAATTTCTATAATTTAGGATTTTATTTCACTGTTAAAAATCTGGCAGAGTTAAGTAATACATATATACACTACATACTGGTATTGATTTTATTACCACAACATTGCTAAAAAGGGCAACGTTGCTCGTTATTACTACTGACTCAGAATTACTTCACCAAAAATTTGATTCCCGCTTCGTATCCCTACCATACTAATAGCATGGGAAGGATACCAGCGCGGGAGGGAAAAGAAAAACTGAGTTGATATTATCAGTTCCGTTAGCCATAATAAGTATCTGTACTCCGGTCAGAATGATTTAATAACACTTTTATAAAAGACTTTTATAAAAGTGTATGGTTCAATTAGGAGATAAAATAAATATTTTAATAGCTGCCTCATGGTTTACAGGAGACAGAAATATGTATGTATCTCTTACATATTGCGATGATGGAAAAATGACGGACTCAGCATTCAGAAACCCAAGTCGATTACTAATTAATATCAACTCAGTTTTTCTTTTCCATCCCGCGCTGGTATCCTTCCCATGCTATTAGTATGGTAGGGATACGAAGCGGGAATCAAATTTTTGGTGAAGTAATTCTGAGTCAGTAGTACAATCTGGTTTCGTTGTGAACAACTCCTCCTTTAAAATGAATGTTTGCACAGCTGGCTTTAAAGACGAATCGCATTCGTTCCACGATTTCCGGCACCTGAATTACATATTAGAAAAGTGAATATAGGAAAAATGTATGCTCAGAAATTATTTTACTGTACGAATTACCACATGCCCCGAGATTTTTATGGTTTTAAATCCTCTACTATGCAAAATCAGGTCCTGAATTAGGGGAGAAAAGTTATCCTCCGTGGCGTCAATGCGCGAAAACAGGATACTTTTATCTCCTGCAATTATTAAGACTATTTATTAACTCTTTCCGTACCACTGATTTAAAAAAAAACCCTTGAGTACGATGTTCATTTCATAATTTAAATAGTTCCAGGTGTTTTTTAAGGAAAAACTTAAAACGTCAACTTTTAACATTGGTCGGTATACGGAAAACTCAAACATTTGGGCAGGAGAATATTTTTTTAAATCAACTTTTTACCACTGAGTTTTCCACAGAAATATTTTATTTTATTTTGATGTCAGGGCAAGTTATGCAGGGATTTTAACTACGTCACATTCGTGTATTTATTTTGGGAGGACAGTCATTTATAGTTGTTGGATTTCATGAGTCAAGTGTACACTTAATACAAGAAAGGGTTATAACTAATTAGTAAAATTTTTATTTTAATTTTTGCCGGTAAATCTTATTTTCTATTCGTCCAACATTGCGACGACGCCGAAAAATTACCAAAATTAGTTCCCCCGGCACCGAAAAATTGGCCGGCGTCGACCTCTGATAGGAATCTATGGGGTAATTTTAACTTAAATAACTCGCACATATTTACGTACCTTTTAAAACGGACATGGCTTTGAGGACTTCAATCAACATTAAAGATTTGTCGATCCGTTTCACGAGGACGTTGACCCGCTCCAAATCCCACTTTTGGAACGGTCCCATAATCCGGTTGATGTCGGGAGTGGAAGTTAAACATACATACTTCACAGTCAAGTCGAATTTCTTAACGGCGGGAAATAACTCGATCATTTTTCCCCGAATGCTTCCTCCTCCCATCCCCAAAAATCCATTGTCAACGCGACAGATTGAACTCCCTCGTGTCGCCTCCACAAATTCAGATGGGATAGCAACGACGACTCCTCTGGTAATGGTCCGTTGTGGAGAGAGAGGGTTTTCAATTGGGGAAAGTGGTCCTCATCAAAAAAGTCACGAATTCGATACACATTTAGGGCATGGGGATGATCAGCGTGGTAAGTTTTGACATCACAGGAAGCTCCTCAACAGTTTGGATCTGGGATGCATACAAAAACAATTAGATATGCAAGTCATGTTCAGCAATATCGTGTACTGGGCCAACTTTTTAATGTGAATCTGTTGTAATATGTATCAAATTTCGCATAAATTGCAAAATTTCGCTAGACTAGTTTTCAAGAATTTTTTGGCAAATTTATCCATCAGACCATCATTTGGATCTGGTTTACTACTTTTGCGTGGCATAATGCATGGACGTTCCTTAACATATTTTGCAAAATCAGATTTTGCGTATCCCATCCGGAATTATGCAAAATTCCTGAAATATTTTGCTACGCTAAAAATTTGTCGTGAATATGTGCGCCTATTGTAAGATAGTTATTGAATCTTTACCTCCTCTATGTCTTCCATGGCCTGCGACAATTTCAGCTCGATTAAGGAATCCTTGACCTGCCCCAGCATCTTGGTCACATTGGCCAAATCTAGCTCTGGATAACTCACATTGTTACAAGTCATGAATTTAAACTTCAAAACTTTGAGACTTGTGCACCCCTCCAAATTCGGATAGAGAGACGCCGCGACGTCCAAAGTGGTCAAATTGGGGGCAGCATCGGTCCAAATTTGGATAAGGGGTTGAAACTCGTGGGCGCCGGTGGTGCGATCACTTCGAAAATCGGAATGCATATGGAACTTAAGGGAGGTCAAGCTAGTTTGAGGCGGGAGTTTTTGACACGATTTGGCCGGAACTGTGTAGCACGTGTCGGGTTTCCAGGCGCTGAAGATGTCAACGTGCTGGATTTTTGTGGACCCCAACGCCCTAATTCGTTGGAGGAAAGCGGGGATAAATTCCTTCTCGGCGACGAGGAATTTAATTTCATGTGTTGATTGAGGAGACACGTGACTGAGAGATTTGGCAACAACGTTGGTCTTCTTCTTATTTGATCGAATGGACGGGTCGAATTTGTCCGAAATTAGGATACGCAGGATCAGTTTGTCGTTGAGAGGGGTCATCTCGATACCTGAGTTGGCCTCGTAGTAAAAAAGTTTGTTGATCTGGAAAGGAACCCGTTTTCCTAATAAACCGACACCGACATCGTCCCACTCGTGGCACACGAGACGAGACGTCTTCAGGTCGGGGATGCGGAGCTTGGCGAAGATGATGTCGAGAATCTGGGGAAAATTCAAAATAAATAAATAAATTCAATTAGTCAATAAATTATATACATCGGAATTTTGCCCTTTAGTCAATAAGTTGTGTAATTAACTGACCAACGGATTCTTCAAAACTTTGACGTTGTTGGGGTGAACTGGTACTTTTTTCGAATCTGGAATTAAACCGAGTCAATGTAGAACATGAATATCTCCCGTAGTGAAGAAAGCTTTAATTTAAAATATAGATTTACTAAAACATTTACCAAAATTTGGAAAATTCCTCTCCTCTCGTGAAGAAGACCGCAATTTCATTGTGTGAAGGTTTTTATCAAAAATCTGCAAAGTTCGGCGTATTGTGGAGTGCGTCGTCCTGACAGGTCGGAACTAAATAGAATTAACAATAATAAATATGCGCCAAATATGAAATTAACACCCTATTCGTCCCAAAAAATATGTGTATACATGAATTGCTAACAGCTTACAAGATAGGTTAATATGTGGCTAAATATTTCCATGCACAACTAAACTTGTAACTACAGTGTCGGACAGATGTCTACGTCCACATAGTCGCGTCAATTTCATTTTCAAATTGTCACTGAACTACTGAACCAATTTTCATCATTGATATATCAAATTCTCACAAATTTAACGTAATTTCATAGCACATTATTAGTTTTCCGCTAAAAAATTTATTTTAGGCCAGAGATGTATTTTAATTCAAAATGAAAACAATTGGATGGACAAAAGTCAACGTCCAGTCAGAGAAAACATACAAAAAAAACTGTAATTTATAAGGAATGTTATAACAATTAATTTTTAATATTTGGTTGGGCCTCCGTTCGCTTTAAGGACGGATTCAAGGCGTCGAGTCATAGAGTTTACCAAATTCTTGGTCACATCTTCAGAAATGGTTTCCCAAACTTCAAGAATTCTGGATTTTAGGCCCGGAATTCCTGAAAAAGATTGTTTTCTTATTTCTCTTTCAATGTGGTCCCACAGATGCTCAATGGGATTCAAGTCTGGAGATTGGGGAGGCCATTCTAGCTTCGAAATTTTTTTTTCTTGAAGTATTCCATGGTGGACTTGGCAGAGTGTTTCGGATCGTTGTCTTGTTGGAAGACAAATCGTCGTCCAAGTCCAAGTTTTCGAACAGATTCCTGGATATTACGGTCAAGTATTCCCTGGTACTTGTATTGGTCCATAATTCCGTCAACAAATTCCATTTTTCCTGCCCCACTTGAAGCCATGCATCCCCACACCATTACCGACCCGCCGCCGTGCTTAACTGTGGGGTTGAGATTTTTTGGATTCAATGCTTCTTTTGGATATCTCCACACTCTACGACGCCCATCTGACCCAAAGACATTGAACTTTGACTCGTCAGTCCATAAAATACTGTCCCAGAATGTTTGTGGCTTGGAAATGTGGTCTCTGGCTTCACTCGTTTGGTTGCATTCCTCGGTACAATAAGAGGCTTCCGGACTGCTCTGTGGGATTTCAAATTTCCCTTGTTCAGTGTTCTTTGGATGGTCCCAGGACTAACTTGTTTGTCGAACATCTCCTTGATCTCGGTAGATAGCTTTGGAGCACTAAGTGAGGGTGTAACGTTGACTTTGTTGAGCACGTGGCGTACTTCTCGGTGAGCCAAAATCGGTTTTCGACCACTTCTGACCTTGTTTTGGACTGAACCATTAGCTCTAAAGTTCTTAATGATTGTCTGGATGGTTGTCCTTGCTAATTTATACTTGGTCCCTATTTGTCTCTGCGACAGCCCCCCTTTTTGTCCACCCTTCCAGTCCTGAATGACAAGATCTCGAATAGCGATAGGAATTTCCTTGCGTGTCGACGCCATCATATTTTTCTGGAAGAAAATTATTTAAAAATTAATGCGGCATATGTTATTGATAGATTTATTAAGTTACCTGATTTTATAAATTGGAGAGATTTTTGTTGTTGACAATTAAAGTGAAGTGGACGTAGACTTTTGTCCGCTCAAATTTCATCCTCTCTCGCTCTGCACTATGATTCTCAGTTTTCCCAGAATTTTCAGAAATAACTCATATGTTTTATGAAATTACGTTAAATTTGTGAGAATTAGATATATCAATGATGAAAATTGGTTCAGTAGTTCAGTGACAATTTGAAAATGAAATTGACGCGACTATGTGGACGTAGACATCTGTCCGACACTGTAAATACAACTTATAACTAAATACATGTAAACTTGCATGTTTGAAGATGACTGCGAGCTCCTAACTTTTGTCGATATTGCGCTGTAAGTAAAATGTATAATAAATATGTACATATGTACTAAATCTTTATTGTCTATTTTCATATGTAAAAATAGTTTGGTTGACTGGTGAGACGACCATCCCTTGCTCTGGTGGTGATCCTTAACAAATTTCCTTTTTGAAGAATGCTTACAATATATTGATGTATATAAATATACTTATTCGTAGTCATAAATCTTAGAATAATAAAAAACGGCGTGGCAAGTACTAAGTCGTAAATATGTTCAAATAGATAGTAAGTCTGCTCTCACTTTTCGGGGTCAACATTCCTTGTTCTCCCAAATTTTTGACAAAAGGGTCCCTTCTGTCAACGCTGCCTTATGAGAAATTAAGGGATTCTTCTTATGTACCCTACACGTTGAACTACATTTATGTGCAGAAAATAATAATGTAAATTTCATTGTAGATAAATTAACAAGTATTGATTTATTACTTTGTTTCCTTTTCAATCTGAAATGCATCCATCTGTACATAAAGAATTGCACTACAAAATCTCAACTTGCGCTATTCTGATGAACGAGGGCGTAAAAAATCATAAATTAAACATACGTATTTGCATGCCATGACTTTCTATAAATATGATACACTTGGTCAAGTAACCGCCACCAACTACATTCCTCCTCTAGATATTTTGCAATTTTTAATAGATCTAAGTATATAAACGCTATTGACTGCAGGGTTTTTATTATGTTGTTGTTATAACATTAAAAATATAATGCAAGTCCGTCACATACAGAAGGATCGGATCCTTGTGAATTTGTTACAGATTTAAAAAAATATGTATATGTAGCATATAAATTTCTCGGGTCCGAATATATATTTTTGTGGGGTTACTTAAATAAATACATATACATATGTAGCTTTTTAATTAACATCGAATGAATTCCCACCATTGTCTTGGGTTCTGCGGATTCATCGAGGTGCCAATCACATCAATCCCAATTCCATTGGAAGAACTTGGACAGGGTAAACAAACAGCAAACGTAAATCCCTACATAAATCCTTTTTACTAAAAAAATAGCTAACTCATACTTACCCCATGTAGGTAATTGTAGTATTCGGAGTATCATAAGTGTTCGTTATTGTCCAATACTTTGTGCCCACAATTCGGCTTAATTTCTAATAGGGTGACATGTTTATGGGATACTGGGAAATTACACAAATTCACATTTAGTATTAACCATGCGTTGTGCCTTATACTCTTAAACTTTAAACTTTATTAGAACAAACTTTTTTGCAATCAAACCTTATGGCACAAAGTTATGAGCAAGTCATTATTCCAGGGTGACCTACTTCTAACGTTACTACGGTTTATTTAGGTTGCTTTAAAATAACTTACGAATATACAGGGGAAAAAATCTGGTTCGTCTAAGCCGCCGCCGCATAAATGCAGTATGTGTTGCCACCACATCGAGCCAGTTCCCAAACCCGATCGGAAAAGATAGTTGGTATCTACAGAGAATAATTTTCATATATTTGCACCACAAACCAGATTAATTTGCTGACCTGTAGCATTTTGTTCCGCACTCCAAAGCTGTGCCAAGTTTGAGCAGGGAGGATTGTAAGAAACGTTGTTAGCGTGAATTTTGTTACGAAGTGTGAGGTCGGACAAATAAACTTCCAGCGCCTATTGTGATACGTGAATGCGAGTTAATTATATGGAAAAATGTGTTATTTTCATGTTTATGAATAAGTGATTATTACCTGTGGAGCTAATGCACTAACGATCTGGTATACTCCCCCAATCACAATTGGAGGGGATTCAGTGGTAATTGTTGGCCCAGATGTAGTTTGGCAGAATGACCAGTTAACGATATAAAGAAGGGAAAGTACGATCGGGAGATATAAAAATACTCCCTTTGGCATATTGCAATTTGAAAGTAGGAATTAATTAGAATATGATTGAAGTTTGATTTGTAAATATGAACTGATCCAATAATTATGACGAGGCGGCCGTTTTATATATGTATGAGGACGTCAAATATCAAATATGTGACAGGGCGGTGGTTAAAATGGACAGCACAATCGGTTTAAAACTTGAATTTAAGGAAAACGTGGAAAAATATTGATAACAAAAGTTGATCTGTATTCCAATTCTGAAAATTAAACCCGAAACAACGAGATGCTTAGGTGAAGCGACGGAGTGCAACTATTTAACAGCTTTTTCTTAATTAAGAGAGCTTGTGTGAATTAAGTTTAAAATTCGCAATGTTTGGCAATCAATATCAGAGACTGGCGGATTAAGGATGTTGGGATTAAGGATTGAGATTGAGGATTAAATTTAAAATCTTGGGATTGAGATTGGGGATTAAGGATTAATTTTTAAAATTTTGGGATTAAGGATTGGGATTAGGGATTGAATTTAATCTGGGATTAGGATTGACACGGGATTAAATTTTATCTGGGATTGGGATTAACACGAGACTAAATTTAGGGTTTACCTATGGAAATTAATTTACATCGTCGTGGATTAATTGTTTGCATTAAAGTGCATTATTATGCCAGACTTTTAAATTAATTAAATAAATCTCTGAACTTCTGAAAATGAAATCTTTTGAACATTTTGCATGCAATATTAGAATGTGAATACAATTTCTAAGTCGCAATTAAATATTTTTTGTGCTAAAAATTACATAGGGGAAGAATTCTAATTTTATTCTTGGTACTATTTTTGAACATTGTGCATTGAGGATACCGCGATACGAGTAGTTTTGCAAAATATTGTAAAGTATTTTTAAATGTTTGATAAAAATGAACGAAGTGAAATCAGTTTTCGAAAGGGGAGCGATCTCAAGAGAAGTTTTCTTTTCGAGTTTTTAGTCAATTCAAATTTAATCCCATTTCAATCCCACTTTTGGATTAAAGTTGACAGAGTTGGATTGGGGATTAAAATTCAAAAACTCGGGATTAAGGATTGAGATTAAGGATTAATTAATCCCCAATCCCATTCTCAATCCCCAATCCTTAATCCGGGATTGACCAGTCTCTGATCAATATACATACTCTTGATAATACGAACTTAAAATTGAACATTCAGATCTATGTATTATTCTATGTAACATGTATGAAATATTATTCGTAAAAGTAGCCAAATTGCGAGAAGTAAAAATGATGAAAAATTAAAAAACCTATAATTTGTTGACTATGCCAATGCCGTCCGCTATCTTAAACTTGCTTATAGCTCTAACTTAATGGTTCTGTCGATAAAAATTAATTCATCATCAAATCTCCGTAAACCAATTTTTTGACTTGACCAATCGTTTTGTAAACCATATTTATGATAATCCTACAAAAATCTTAAACTTATGAAACCTCATATTTATGTATGCACTTCTTGCTTCACATAAGAAAAGTTTGCAGAGTAATTATGTATATTATCTGCTGGGCTTATAATTATTTATTCTTTCAAATTTAAATTATCTACATTTTGGGGGATATCAGTCAAGATAAGTTTGACAGTTTTAATTAACTTGCTATCGGTTTGATTGAATTTTGGCTCCGTGTTTTCCTCATTGAGGAATCTTCAACTACTAATGTAGGTGTTTTCATCGTAATATTCGTAATGCAATTTATGCAAAGTGGGATCGTAACGCGGTTATTGCAATACAGACTACCCATCTGCAGGACAGTGCGGTATCAAATCAATACCATCACGGAGTGTATGTATGGCTTCTTGGTTTCACCACTTTGCTAATTGTGTTAATTTATTAAACATTTTACCCGATTGTTTACTCAATCTGTTGACATGAATTAAATGTTCAAATGCATTACTTCTCACAACTATCGGGCGCCCATGGGACTTCAGGTAAATCGTCAATTTTGAGCCCTCGTGTGAAATTGGTGCTCCCTTGTGCGCCCTCAGCTAGATATCGAATGTTATCCATATCTGCAAATTCCAGGGTAAGATTTGTCATTCCGCGTTGATTTGCCCAATACATCATCCAAAAATCAGAGGCCCACTCGTCAATGGAGAAATTTGACTCGGATATTTGAACCAGCCAAGCCAGCCCCCATTTGCCATATTCCCAATACAGTTGTGGGATTCCGGCCGAATTATTTTTGAAGGAAATGATCATCTCACCTAATTGAAAAAGATGACACACGTTAATATCGGAATGGGGTAAATTTGACGTTTGTATTTAATTTATTAAGGGGTGAAGCGAAGCGAAATCCCTTTATAGAAATGGCATGTCTGTCTGTCTGTCCGTCCGTCCGTCCGTATCAGCGATAAATTTATAGAATTTCGACATGCGGTTTTCGCCAACGTGTTTCTAATTTTTTGCACGTGATTAGTTCGAAGATGAACGTTGTAGATCATAAGTTCACGGCGCCACGCTGATGACGTCAGCAAAGGTGTCAAATTTGTTATTTCCACCGTTTTAGACGTGTTTTTGGGCGGGGATTTCACAAATCGCCATAATTTTGACGTGCCATGACCGTGTCGCTTCACCCTTTTGCTACATATCGTTTGCAACGGTTTATTTACCATTGAACCCACTTCCATATGTACCAACGGCTTCGTCAGGTGAAATTTTTGCTTGGCTATTCGTATCCTGATTTCTTGTTGAAATCCGAGACAAATCTGCCAATGGCATCAAGTCCAATGGAGCAGCGGTATATATCTTGTTCGAAAAACTATCAAATCTGCCCACATCCTGCTTTATTGCCCCTAGTTACATACAGATTTATTCATTAGACACTTTGTTATCTTTGGTAAGAAATTAATTAATGGAACACCTTTTTATTAAAAAATACATCTTCAAAAAAATACAACTGCAAATTTTTTTAGTACCTCGCAATATCTCAAAGAGCTGGGCCTGAATCCAGGAGTTCGGCATAGATGTCGAGCGCAAAGTACCCGGACCACTCATGGCTATAAAGACGCCAAGTCCTAATTCGGGATATAAGTGCATAAGACTTTCAGAAGGGGGAAGATACCCGCCATGTCCGATTCGTAACCACCCATCATAAACTCCAATATCCAGACAGAGTCCGTATGCAATGTTCAGGTTAATAATTGAGTCAGGATTGATTTCAGATTTTAAGGTCCCAGAAGCGATTAGAGAGGATGGTGTATATAACCAGTTCATTACTTCCTAAATTTCATATAGATAATCTTGATAGGCATAAAAATATTGCAATCAAGTACTTACACTCTTAGAAATGGGGTTATGTACGATTATAACTAAAAAGTAAACGTAAATATGTGACTCTCCCGCCGTGGTTATAAATTTGTCATCGATTGGTTACCATTGTCTCCGACTAATTATGAAGTTTCACCGACTTGTTATTAAATTGTCGCCAGTGCTAATAAATAAATTTATAACCAGCTGGTGACAAATTCATAACCACATCGGTAGAGTCAAACGCGTTTACTTTTTGGTTATAATCGTAACCCCATTTATAAGAGTGTATTCATTGTTGGCTATATTGTTTACCGCAGGTATAATTTGATTGTCCCCAACTTGTCCAAGGTTTAAATGAAACTGCATATATTTCATCATATCGCTCGCCGAGCTCAAAATACCACCGGCCGCATTTACAAGGACGACACCCCTTTTGTAATAAACGAATAGTTAAATTTATATGATGATACAATTAATTCGTCCAATATTATGTACTAACTTCATCAGTTCTGGATTATATCGATTAAGGACGCCATCTTTCCAGTAGTATGGCACCGCACGTTGCATCATATTGTTATGATCGTCACTTTCTTTGACCCAAGTTGTGTTAGTCATTCCAATTGAGAGAAGCAGATCAGAAAGCTATTTGCATCAAACAAGTGGAGGGAAATGAATTCATTTATATAGAATTAGCATACAACGAAATGATTAGTGTTATGTACCATATCTTCATACGTAGAGTTTGCCAGGTGTGCAATTATATCTCCGGCAATTGCGATAAGTCCATTATTGTAAAGATAAGCATTTCTAAATGCGCAGTAATTGAGTGAGTATCTTTGTCGGCTAAATAAAGAATATTTAAATTCAAAACCAAGATTCAGTTAAATTAATGCCAAATTGATCTTACTAAAAGAACTCTCGCGAATCGTTGTAAGCCTGAACCCACATTCCCGTATACTCTGGCAAATAGCAAACCCTATGGGCCAGCAGGTCACGGAAGGTCACGGACCCTGATCGGTACCTGTCTCCTAGAACAAAATCATAACTTGGCGCCAATGTTCGTATTGGCGTGTCCAGTACGGATTGCCCCAATTCAGGAAAGTTTTCATGAAGAAATTTGACTGCAATTACTGCAGTGAAGCTTTTAGTTAATGATCCGATGGAAAATAGAGTGTCACTATCGGCGGGTAGCCGGTTCTCTCGGTCTCTCTGTCCGTAGCCGGTTTTATAGAGGAGTTCTCCATTGTTTTTAATTATTGAAATCGCTAAGGCCGGCACATTCTGTTGATTCATTACGTTCGAGATGAACAGGTCGATTTGATGCTGAGTTTCGGGTGGGATAACATTTTGCGTGGAGATGAAGGGGATAAAAATGGAGGCGAAGAAGAAATAAACTAGAATCGAAATATCCATATCAATCAATTTTATTTACATGGAATTAATTATTTTCAGTTGAATCCGGTAACTGGATTTAACTGGCAATGACGATTAATTGATATTGCGGATTCATCTTCTGCGTCAATCGTTTATAAAGAATTTGGCGACTTAATTACAAACATTTTGATGCGAATATTCTGATAATTGATTTTAGATTAAGTTATCTAAGTAATTAAGGTATGCCGGCTTTTTTTATTTTGAGCCGCAAAACCAAACAAGTTCCAATAACACGATTTATTTTAAAAACAATGTTTGATAAGAGTCGGAGGTGTCCATTACTCACACATTTGTGCCATGTTAATCAGGCGACTTTTATTTAAGGTACATTAATTATGCTAAACTTATGTATTCCTGATAATACTAACTCGTTTGGCTGGTCGGTACTTTGAACAGATGAGTGACGACATGGCATTGGAAGTTTTGCAACACGTTCAACTGATAAAATAATTCAGATTAATAAATCACATACTTTTTATCATACAATTAATCAACAATAATTAATTTGATTAAGAGGTTCACGCTGAAGATACCTAATTATATGTCGGCAGTTCCTCAATCAAATACATATGTGCAAAAAAAGAATGTACGCAATTTTTGTACCATCAAACCAGTCAGATGAGAGTGGGATGAAAATACGTACACAACACAAATTATGGACTATGTATTCGAGTGATTTGACTATTACTATTTTATGCATTTGACCATGATCATGAAAGTCTGAATGTGTTTGTCGTGATATGAAAATGAACTAGGTGTATGTATGTAAACTGCCCGGAACAATTATCCGGCAGGGTTTTCCAGAGCTCGGCGGAGGTGGATACTAAACCTCCATATACTTATTTATTATTTATTTAAAATTGAATTTATGGTTGTCTTCATATTTTTCTGAATTCTAATTTTAGCTCCCACCCTTCACTTTTGTGGTCAACATACCTTTCTTTCTTACATTTTCGAGAAAAAGGTCCATTTTGTCTTCCGTAGAATAAAAGATTGATTTTTAGCTTAGATGCTCAACTACATTTATGTTTAGAAAATAATAACGTGAATTGCATTGCAAATTAAAAACTATTCATTTATCAAATACTTGCTATCCGTTTCAGTCTGAAATGCATCCATCTGCAAAGCATTGTACTATAAAATCTCAATTTACCTCTTTTTCGATCTGACATGTATCCATCATTAGTAACACGTTTCACACAAAATCCCTAATTTGCTACAGAGTCTCAACTTATCCCGTACAGTGAAATTGTTAAATTTCCTTGGAACCTTAACTTACCCCCCGTACTGCAAACTTCACCAGAATCTCAAATTAAATATAATTTCTCTGATATCAAGATTTTAATCCAAGTATATTTGTATCTCACATGCACTTCTGTACATATTACTGCTAATTATTTTCATACTATGTTATCACGATTTTTGAGGACTCGATCAATCACCTGTGCAGCCAGTTATTGTACATAAAATAGGCATTGATCTACTTCCAGTTAAATCCAGTTAGTTCTGTGTGAGCACATTAATTGCTTGCGCATTTACGGCTTGCGCTAATTAATTTACTTAGTTTCAATAGAAACATTCAATTCTCTAGCTCATCACTTATGATACACACCTTATAATTTGATAATTTAATTAGCATACCCTTGCTAGACGCATTATTTTCACGCCGCTATTAATTTAATTACAGGAGAATATCAGCAAATTATTAGTCACGTAATAATTTAGGAATCACGGTATGATGAGAAATTGTGTCCATGCAGTTTGCAGCTACATAAACGTATATACAAATTTTCAACTAGCAATGCAGAGCATTCAGTCAATCCCAGATTGCATTATGGAATGAGTTGTGTTTTTAAAGCTGAGAATATTGTTACAAATTTGTAAAAAAAAACAGACAGCAAAATATGTCAAGTCTTCAGGAATTTAAGGCATATATCCTAATTTCTGTAATACTCGCCATTGTAATTGTAATAGTCTCGGTAAGTTTTATGATAAAATTATTCCGGACTATGAAAATTTTGGACGCTAATTTTCACATATTTCATTTTCCACATATGCAGGGATACATATTACTCCTTTGTTGTGACAAGACCACACCCATGACGACTACAAGTCACAATCAATCCTCGAAATATTTAACTTTGGCGGGAAGCGATAAGCCCACGTCATCATTACCTCATCGCCCAATTTTTGTCCAGGCCCATGTCACAGGAAACCATAGCAACTAGATATTTCGTTCACAACGTCGACGATCTACTCCACCAGCCTGGAACCGTGCATAGTCCGAGGCACGCCTTTGACCCGGTTCTGACCGGTACAGCAAGTCATACTTTCGATTCGCTACACTGTCCCACGACCAGTCACACGTTTAGCGATTTGATGCGGCCAACATCCAATCATGGTTTGACTCACGTGGTTACACATACCGCTGGACAGCATTCTACTTCCGGGAAAAATAACAATTCACAAAGTCATTCATTTCATAAAGGAAAAAGTGGATATGAACCTCATCGAAAAGCATTTGATTAAAGATATATTTTTATTTTGTACATGCAAATAAATTTGTAACGAGTTATCAAAAGTTATTCGTTATATATGAAAATTTGCCCAGTACTTGCGCAAGCGTGGGGACAGAGGGACAATGTCCCCACGTGTACATATATACGTATCACTACATATGTATGCAATTCTGCACCCGAAAACTTGATGAGCATAAAAAACTTGAGAATGTTTGGCAAACGATAACTCTTTAAATAAATTCTAAGTCTTAAATAAAGGTATGCACATGCAAATGAAACTCTGGAAAATGCTTACGTATTTATGTGAAAGGTTTAATCAATTTGAATTTCATGTACCACGTTTGCCTATTTTTTACGGTATAACTTTATTCAAAATATATGTAATGGTATACATATGAAAATGTGAAAGTTATGACAGCGTTATTGCTCCCCTACATATGCTAAATAAATATTTGAATCGTCCAAAATTCCACGAATTACAAAGTTTAAATAGAAGTATCTAAAAGTTCAAGAAAATATTGTCAAATTTCCCAACTACAAACCCGTTTTGTAAGTAAATTTATCAGCGCATACAATTCATCGGATTGGTCTATCGACTTGTGCATATTCCATAAAATCTTCGTAATGAAGCCACGCTGGCACATCCATTTCACGGCCGGACACGATCTAAAATTAAATATTTGCATCAATTTAGTTGCTTAAATTTTTTACATTAAAGGCCACAATTATCTCAATTTTTTAAATGCATACCTTGTAAATACTCTTTTTCCACCCTTCACTGGCATCTTCTCCCTTCTGAATAGTTTCGAAGAATCTTTTCACCACGATCCCAACCTCTTCCAAAAACTCGTCCGGCTGACATTGTGTCTTCAAAGGGTCGAAAAATGCCAAAAGTGAGACAATCTCCTCATTCTCTGGGCGGAGATCAATCTCTTCAGCTGAAGTGATTCCACTCGCCAACGCGGCACGTGCCATGGCTTCCATCGTGTCAAAGTAGTATTTCCTAAATATAAAAATTTAAATTATCTATAGATATGCGAAATTTCAAAAAATATGGGCTTAAAAATAATGGAAACATTATATACAAATCAAAAGACAGTTTGGAAATAATACGTTTTGCAAAACGTAAAAATTATGCAGAACTAAATACAGAAATTTATGAGAGCTGAAAGTTATGTAGTATTGCAAAATTTTTAGAGCGGAAAATTATCAAATTGCAAGATTTTGTGTGAGATGAAAATTATAAGTATGAAATTTCAAAAATATTGTAACGCCAAGAAGCCTGCCAACATATTTACACTAGTGAAACAATAAATTACTCACCTTAACGCCGTGTAATAATTAATTAGCGCAGTTATATTCTCCGAGGAGAAATTCACTTCCGGGAAATAACTCCTGATTTGCGAGGGGTGCGGGTACTTTCGCCAGAAAAAGGTGAGACACGCTTTATACCTGTGGACAAACGTGAGAACTGTGGCTGGGCGAGCTGGACCTAAGAAAATGGATGGTTTACGAAATTTTTAGTTTAAAAATCATCATGATAAGCAAATATACATTCATGACAATTTTTAAAGACACAATATTTAAACATGCCAAATTAAATTAATTTTCCTAAAAACTGTAAATTCGTAACCGAAATCCACTTTTACATGTAATTTATGTTGTGCAACATGGAATTTTATTTACTAAATAATATTATAACACATATTTAAATATTTACCTGATCCTGATGGGAGCTGCATTATTATTTCTTCGAAATTACTGAAATTTGTCGCAAATGTGGAATAACGCGAACCGAGGAGACTCAAACCGTTTGGTAAACTGGACTTTAATTAGGAGGACACGTGGTGATAATGTCGTACTGCTTACTGTCAAACTAGGACTGACAGAAATTCCGAAAAGACGGCACTATTTTATACCCTTAATGGGGACTTACTTATAAAAAGTAAATGTATGCAAGGATTGAGTACGGAGAAAGGGGTACTTCTTTTTTTAGGGACGCAGGTTCCTTTTGCACAGCTCCAGGAGGTTTAAGCTTACTAAGAATTTTAGTAAAAATAGAGTGAGAACAATTAGGCATATTTACAATTGGGGCTTAGGTTTGTTGAGGTTGTGTTCCAGGCATGGCAGGTTAATTATAACTTGGGTCCTTTAACTAACTCAGTGCGTGGTAAAATAGACTACGTATCGGTTTTTAAACTTTAACCACATTTAAAGAAATAAATATGTTAATCCGGCGACAACCCAAGCCAAATATTCCTGTAACCCTTCAACGAGCAGGTAGCCCTATGAGAGGTCATAAAAATGAAGGTTCATCTGCAAAATTGCCATATGAAAAATGTAGCTATTAATACCATATATTTTCTAAGAAATTTACACACTTTACTTTATATAAATACTCAGCATTGAATGAGAAACTTTTATTAGCAGAGAAAGTTTGTCACATCCAGCAACACTGGATTCGGTCAGGATTTATGTACATACGTACTACAAATTGTAGTTTACATTCATATGTGTACAATAAATGCTATTTAAAATGCAAATATCTATCACTGCAAATCGACTACCCGACAAGTGAGGTATGCATTCGTATTAAATTATTCAATTTATAATACTTCATAGAACTACATACATCTTGATACACATTTACAATTCATGCGAAATCCTCGATGACAAAAAAATGCTCATGAAAAAAAATTATGACGCACGACTCTTACTCGTTTTAACAAAGGGAGAGAATTGATCAGCACAGCGAATATAAATCCAATTGTCAATCTACATGCATACAAATTTTACATTACAAAACAGAAACAGGTGGTGATCTGTCGTTCACCAAACAATTAATTATTCTTAAGGTAATAAATTAACTAAATATTTCGAGCTATTTATTAACACACAAAACAACGAACGATAAAACTTATGTCATACATATGTACATACATACTTTACTAACGCAGCATTAAACATCGCCACAAATAAAATATACTATTAATTAGGGTTGCCGCGGGTAACGGGTCGGGTACCCGTTACCCGCATACCCGCACCATACTTGCGGGTACCCGTTCTCTGCGGGTAGCAAGAACTACCCGCACGGGTAACGGGTAGTTCAGTTTTTATTTAATTTTCGACATAAATCAGTTCACAAAGAAAGTTAGTAGAAAGTTAGACCATTTACCAAGAAAAGCGTAAATTTATTATTTATCGATTTCAAAATTTTCCATTTGCCAGAAGCTAGAGATTATAACTAGCGTGTCTTTTCGATATCCACACAAGCCTTGGGCAGCCCCAAATACTTCTTCTCAGCCCCAAATAATTCTTCAAATATGCCTCACGTCCCGAAAATGCGGAGAAATTATTGTTTCTCAAGCTAATCTCAAACTAATCTGTCTGCTCTCAAATATCAGTAATCATTTAACTTGTATTTGTGTATTATGTAAGTCTGACGAGATCTTAGTTTGTGCTTTGAAAATGAAAAATCTGAATCCGATTGAAAACAAAAATTTTACTTGGAGGCAATTATTTTTGAATAAAACCGTTTTAAATCATAATTTCAAAAAATCAAACTAAAAATTTAACCTTTTTTCAAGCTACACCAAGATTCTCTAGCGAGTATATCGAAAAGTCAAGCCCAAAACTAGGAATCGCGTGATACTTATCTTTCCGTTAATGGTCACGTTGAACAAACTATTGGCGACAAAGTTTAATTTTTAACTTAATGTTCTGCATATTTTTCTTTCACTGGACGAAAACCATGGTAGACTTTGATCTTTGTCCCCCCAATAGTTTTTTTAAACAGGCCATTCAACGGAAAGATACATAAGTGATAATTCCTAATTTTTGGCTTGGTTTTTTGGCTTCCCTTGATATAATTCGCTAAGAAATCCCGATCAGGCTTGAAAAAGGTTCCATTGAAAGTTAATAATTTTAATTTCAGAAATAGCTAATTACATCTAGCAAATTATGATATTCGTTCGTTGCACAGCATTACATATCTCAAACTACTAATCAACCTAAATGAGCAAATAATTGATTAAATAAAAATTTATTCTGAAGGTTGGTTAGTTTTTAACCTAACTTTCATAAAGGGTAGCCGGTAACGGGTACCCGAACGGGTACCCGTGCGGGTACGGGTAGTTGTGCTGCGGGTAGCGGGTCGGGTAACGGGTAGCATTTTCGCTACCCGCGGCAACTCTACTATTAATTGAAATTTGATAAGCATGCAGTCACCGTCACGAGGGGACATGGGTTCTCTACATTTAGGTAAATATTTTGGCAATTAACTATTGTTTCTTGCATGTGTTGTTTACCAAAAATAACGTATAAATCTGAATTTTGAATTTTTTAAAATTTGAAATTCTAGCTACAGAAACTCACGACGACGATAATAACAGCGCATTGTCGAAAGTCTTACGGAATCCGTTAGTGAGTCACTCACTAATTATTTACTATATAGCATTCATTAAATTTTTATCTTTGATATTGAATTAATGCAGTACAGAGAGTCGCATTTTTATTTGATAACGAATTTGTCGTTGAATAACCCCGGAACGGTTTGTCGTAGCGGGTCAAAATTTTGAACAGAGGAGCATGTTATCCTCAGATGGACGTGTGCAAAAATTCAACTCTTTACTTTCAAAAATGCATCCCCCACAGCCCCCAGTAGTCGACACAGTCATAAAAACTCTTTTCAAACTTAAATTCTCGTAAAGCCAAATAACTAAACGTCATGAAAGTGAAAAGAAAACAGTTTCGAAATCTGGAATCAATAAAGTATTGAAAAATATAAGAGAAAAGCGAGAAATTTTGAGTGAGGGACCACTGACACCCCCTAGAAGAAGGCAAATAAAGTAGTAAATTCTACCGTGCTTAGGAAAATTGACCTCTTGACCTCAAAAGACAATCCACCGACCCAAAGTGGAATTTCTCGTGAGGTTGGGGTGTCTAAGCATTCAGTGGAAAGAGGAATTAAGACTTTGAAGAAACAACTTGGTCAGAAAACTCATGTGCATCAGCTGACCGAAAAAAAATCGCGCCCGTATTTGCAAAAAAAATTATTTAAATTTTCTGTCAAAGAATCAGAGTAAGTTTTTAGTGACATTTGACGAAGCACTAATTTCTCTACAAAATACTAATTGGGTTCGAAAAGCTTACTACACGACAAATGCCGAAAACAAATCACGCAAATTAGTGCTTCCGCGTGAGGAGAACTTTTGTAAACAGTATATGGTTGTGGGTGCAATGTCGGGTCGTGGTGTCCTCCCACTTATCAAAGTCCCGCAAAAAGAGAAGATATCTGCGAAGTATTATGTGGACCGTGTATGACAACCACTTTTAGAATAACATTTTCCTCAATTGTACGGTAAAAAAATGAATAAGGTGATTTTTCATCGTGACGCGGTGTCTTTCCAGACGCAAAGTTCACCCAAGGTTATGCAAAGGACCTTGAAGCTAGATTTGAGACAAAAATCATTTTGAATAGTGGAATACCTGTACAATCCGCCAATGTAAGTCAAATAGATTTCTTGGAGTTTGGATACTTACAAGAAAATTTTTTCTGTGGAGACCAAATTTTTTAGACGGAGTTTGGAAAGAGTTGAAATGACTGTTTCAACTTCTGGGGGCTGTGTGGGAGGCAATTTTGGAAGTAGAGATTTGAATTTTTGCACACACCCATCTGAGGATAACATGCTCCTCTGTTCAAAATTTTGACCCGCTACGACAAACCGTTCCGGGGTTATTCAACGACAAATTCGTTATCAAATAAAAATACGAATCTCTGTAATTTTTAATTTTCACAAGATTCTTGACATCATCCTCGCCAAGCTAGATATACTTGACTTGGAGAATTCTCGTCTCGGTTGCCATGTCTGGCGCGACGTCGGCGCCAGTTTATTAGGAAAACAGACTTATCTCCATGTCACCAAGGTTTTCCGCTATGACGAGCCAAATTTATACCAGGCGACTCCCGTAGACGCCAAACTGTACCGTAACCTCGTAATCTGGGACAGATTCGATCCCTCCGTTCCGACAAATAAGCAGGGCAACGTAATCACCAAAGCGCTCAGTCAGGTGCCCCAAGTCACTCACGAAATTGATTTTCGCCTCGGCCACATGAAAGATGTCGCCCCTATTTATCAAGGAATAAGGTTACTTGGCCCCACAAAAATCCGACACATTTCAATCTACGCGTCTTGGAAAAACATCAGTTTCAACAAGGTTCCGGTACATTCGTACCTAACTATTTCAGCTCTACCAACTTTGACCTCACTCAAGTTTAACGTTCATTCTTACCATCCTCCCCGTACCATCGGCCCCATCGGTTGTCAACCGTTTCTCCAAGTATTAATCGATTCCGCACCCAATTTGACCTCTTTGGACGTCACGGGGCCTATCTACCCCAATTTGGAGGGGTGTAAAAGTTTGAAAGTGTTGAAATTTATGTTCAGAAAGTGTTTGCATGTGTTACCATTGACTTGTCCTCAATTAAACTTGGCTGATGTGACCAGGATGTTAGGACAGGTTAAGGATTCCGTAACTGAGGTGGAATTGAGCTATATCGGTAATCAATCGGTTGCCGATAAGACACAGGTAAAAAATAAAAATTGGACTACGTTGTGACCTCAATAATTGTGAGACTGATGTTTATTTAAATTTTTCGGGGATGAGTTTGCAAATTTATTAATTTAAGTGTGGATGGTACACCAATATAGCGACAAGAACTTACACTTTAGTTTACATTTTGAAGTTTCCGTTTGTGGCGAAAAAGTACAAAATGATTTGAAACTTAGATTTTTTCAAGACATACCCATGAGAAGGAAATATTTTAGAATATGCTAATAGATTTTTTTAAATCAGTTTGATATGGAAAGTTTACCAAAATTTTTAGGAGGGATAACTTTTATTTGGTATGTAAATGTAAATGTATATCATTATTAGATTACCTTTCTAATCTGAATGCAATTTATTTTTATCATAATAGTGGTTATCGGTATATGAAAGCGCAAGCACCAGTCTCACAATTATTGAAGCAAATTGGGAACGTCCATACATTATGTCACTATTGAGGGGGATGGGAGGGCAACATTTGAGCCACATGTTAAAAGGGGCATAACGCATGGGGGCCTGAACAGTCGGCGTTTTTACGTGTCATAATTTATGGACGTTTCTTAAAACGGACACGAAGGACTAAATAAATAATTTTCAATAACATCAGGTCAAGAATCCTCACACTCCCGTGATGTCGAAACTTACCTCCTTATCCATCAATTCCGTAAACGTGTACAAAATCTACGACTTCTTTGATGAGAAGCACCTCCCAAACCTAACCAGCGTCTCGCTCATCAACAGGTTTGAGGAATCGATGTTATCAGCGGATCCTAATTTCTGGAAACGACACAGAAAAGTTGAATCTCTTACCCTGATGCTTACTGGTCCTTGGATGGGAGATGAGTTCGAAAAAATTGTCCAAATATTTCCCTCCGTAAAGAAATTTTGCTTGACGATGGTGCTCCCTTGTCCCATTTCCATTAAGGATTGGATCATGTTCCAAATCTGGGATTTGGAACAGGTCAACGTTCACGTCCGTTGTGTAGCCGCATCCTCAAGGATGATCGAACTCTTAAAAAATATATCTCCTGGGAAAGGTACATACATACTCTTACATATTCGCACACAGTTGAACTTTTACACAAATTGAGAATTCTGAGAAACTACGGCACCGTCAGTCTCAAAGTCCCCCGTAAGCATAATTTGAGCGAATTAGAGATTGACAGTGCGTAGTTTCTCAGAATTCTCAATTTCTGTAAAAGTTCAACTGTGTGCGAATGGAGAGTACCGTAAACACTCAAATAGTAGCCCTTTCTCAAATAGTAGCCGTGCCCAAATAGTAGCCCTGCCTTTTTCATAATTTTATAAATAGTGACCTTGCTCAAATAGTAACCTTACTTGAATTATAGACGTTCGTCAATTTCCAATGTACATACATACATACAGCCAGACCTAGACATATCCTAGCCAGCTCATTTAAGTAATTAAATCACAATTAAATTTAATCTCAGGTATACAAAATCGAATTGAACACGAAATTCGGCTCATCAGAGAAATTATTTAAATTAAGAGCAGGATTAACATATAGAATTGTCATCTAATACGAATCTAAGGGAAAATTTAATTTGAGTTTGATTCTGGAAACAAAATTACAATAGCTGTTTGCTAATAGTTGCCGTGCATTTTTTCATAATTTTATAAATAGTGACCGTGCCCAAATAGCAGCCTTGCTCAAATAGTAGCCGGGTCCCAGCCGCCGATTTTTTTAATAGTAGCCCCCGGCTACTATTTGAGTTTTTACGGTACATATCGAATTTTTATTAGTTCAGAATAATTGGTTAAGATGATAATTTTTTAGGCGTCAAACGTGTCCTGTTCAAAAATACTTCCATCAAGGAGGACGATTTTTCTACCTGCATTGATGACCTCATCTTGCTCAGTAGAGGGTTTAAAAGGGTGGAAATCTCTGGGGATGAGGTATATAACTCAAGATTTATAAAAGAACTACTATTTTCCTTATGTTCAGTTTTCTGATGAATTCAGGTATCGGAAATTGTGGACCGAATACGACTCATCTTTGAAGCTAGAGCTGCACCCATTCATTTCACCGGAGGTGTGGTTCACAACGAAATGAGATAACGATTAATAACCGACTTTCGAGTTTAATAAGAAAGTTATCACTTTTCGACATAACATGTAAAACACTTACGAAGGTTCCTAAAATTTAAAATATTATATACAGTGGTCGTACCCATAAGTTTGCAAAATTGATTAACTCAATTTCCAGGTCCAACACTAATAAATATTTAAATAACAAATATTTTATAAACATGATTAAATGGTAAACTGACCAGAAGCCATTCATGAAAAGTTTGACGTCAGAGAAGTTTGACTTATTTAATTTTAAACTTTGAGACTTTGGTGTGGCTCTCAACTAACTAGCAGGTTGAGGTTCCAAGAAAATTTGGGAACATTGGGTCGCTTAATCTTATTCGTGTTAAGTCATATTATGATTTTTTACACATACAAAAATGTAGACTTCAAGGAAAAGAGAAACTTTTATTGCGCTGGAGGGTGAGGGGAGAGTAGGCAAAAGAGACCTTTTTGTTTGGAGGATGGAAGAAGAAAGCAATAAACGTTGACCCATAAAAGTGACTTTATACATAAGGAGCGTCAATATATTACGTCATCAGGGTCGCCCACTTTACTTCTTCCCGAGTTCAGTGAAAGTACACGCCGAAAACTCGGTTTCCTAGTGGGAGGCAAAAAATTGTCATTTTTTATGGCGTGATATCTACACATTCTGGTCAAGAAAATTGCGATTTTTGAGTTACGTAATGTATGGATGGGCCCTGATTGTATGCATTCTGCAAAAGAGAAACTAGTCAAATATCGCCATCAGAGCAAGTGCTGGCCATTGCACTATGAACTCGTACATACATATATGAGAGATATTGTAGGGATTGCGTATTTTATGTCTTACCCTAACTCGACCGTTAGTTAGAAGCTAGCAGTCATTTTCATCATCCGCAAAAGTTGGGCAAGCTAGATAACATATTTTGTTTATTTAGGTAACATATGTACGTATATTTGGTTTAAATATTTAACGAATATTTTAAATTTTTCCTGTATGCATTTTTTATTAGGAGTGAACTCCTATTTAGTATTTATTTTATTATTACATAATTTTAGTTCAGGAAGTCGCACCTACTCCACAATATTCCAAAAGTTGCGGATTTTAGTGACAAAAATCGTCACACTATCAACTATGACGTTGCGGCTAACTTCTTCAAGAGAGAGGACTTTTCCAAATTTTAGTAAATACTGGAATCTATATTTTCTCTCAAAATTGAGACTTCGTTATTACGAGAGACATTAATTTTCTGTATTAATTCCGTTCAATTCCAGCCTCGAAAAAAGTACCTGTTGACCCCAGCAACGCCATGTCGAAAGTTTTGAGGAATTCGTTGGTAAGTTATTTGCACAACTCTCTAATAACAGAATAATGCAATAATTTTAAATTTGCACCAGATTCTCGACGCCATCTTCGCCAAACTCGACCTCCCCGACTTGAAGAATTCTCGTCTCGTTTGCCACGAGTGGAACGATGTCGGCACTGCTGTATTAGCAAAACGGACTCGGCTCCAGGTCAACGAGCTTTTATCCTACAAATGGCCCAAGTTCGACAAGGTGGCCCCCGTCAACGACAAACTACTTCGACGCCTCCTCATCTCGTACAAATTCGACCCGTCTACCCCGAAAAAGAGGAAGACCGACGTTATTAAAAAGGCGCTCACCCACGTGCCCAAAGTGTCTCAATTAACTCGTGAAATTAAATTTTTCGTCGCCGAGAAGAAATTTCTCCCCGCTTTCCTCGAAGGAATTAGGGCGTTGGGGTCCACGAAAATCCAAGACATTGAAATCCTTAGTGGCTGGCGACTTGATCCCGATGGGGACTACAAAATTGCACCTCGGGCGTTTCAAAAACTCCCGCCTCAACCTAGCTTGACCTCGCTTAAGTTCACGATTAATTCAGAGTTTCGACTTGATCGCACCACTGGGTGCCACGAATTCCACCCCCTGATCCAAATCTTGATCGATGCTGCCCCCAATTTGACCACTTTGGACGTCGCGGCGTCTCTCTATCCGAATTTGGAGGGGTGTAGTAGCCTTAAAGTTCTGAAATACAAATTTGGAACGTATTACAATTATAATATACCTGACATCAATTTGGATAATGTGATCAAGATGCTGGCTCAGGTCAAGGATTCCGTAATCGTGCTGGAATTGGCGCTGGATTCACTTTCTACTACCTTGAAGCAGGCAATAACTCTAAATATTTAATAAGTATTTTACAATGGGCATACTCACGGCAATTTATTTTATTAAGCTAAACAATTTTTAGTCATTGAGGCACTTGCCAAACTTGATTTTGTAATGCATAGCTATTTAAAAACACAGGTGTGTTATCCAATTTTGGTTTACTATAGTTTACATGAATTTCATAGAGATGATAGCATATTTTTTAATCATTTCTCGGCTCTGGTAATTTATTTTAAAATTCTGGATACCTATGGAGACGCAAAAAATTCAGCTTCAGAAGAAACAATTCAGAAGTTTTGGGCCCCGCAAATCCGCAAAAATGCTCGGTTTTCCAGTGGAATTTGTGACTTGCGGAAGTAGTTAAGGGTTTTGCGAACTTGCGGCGCCTAAAACTTGCTGAGTTTTTCGCATCTCCCACGCCAAATGTCGTTTCTGAAAAGTTGCTCTTTCAAATTAACATGGTGAAAAATAATCTGGGTTGAACATGGTTTGCGCCCCCATTGTAAATACATATCTATGTTTTGTATGCATCGCAGATCCAAACTGTTTGGGATGTTCCCGTGATGTCCAACGTTACCACGCTCTCCACCCGTTCCATAAACACGTACCAAATTCGGGACTTTTTTGACGAGGACCACTTTCCAAAATTAAAAACCCTCTCCATCCACCAAGGAACGGGGACGTCCCATGCAAATTTGTGGGGGCAACATGGAGAAATTCAATCTCTCTCTGTGGTCGTATGGTCCTTGAGGGACAAGGAATTTGTGGGAAAATTGATCCGTGTATTTCCTGCCGTTAAGAAACTCGAGTTGAGGTTGGAGATCGCATATCACACTTCCGTTTCAGACATCAACCAGACTATCGAACCGTTCCAAATCTGGGATTTGGAACGGGTCAACGTACATGTTGCCACGGAATTGCAAGGCGTGTACCCCGTGTTGATCCAAGTCCTCAAAGCCATGTCGCTCATGAAAGGTATTTATACATACATAAGTGGTTTAATATTTATGTAGGTTAAAATCAGCCTATAAATAAGTATTTCCAATTAATGAACAGTTATAGCCAAGGGGTGGAAGCAGTGTGTCATTTCGTAAAATGAATGAATATCGTAAAAATATGTTAAAATTACGTATTTTACGTTAAAATTACGTATTTTACGTTAAAATTACGGTTTTTTCGATAGCTGTGACCAGGGTGTCGCAGGTCAAAATTATTGATTGCGTTGGACAGCTCTTTGAAAATATGTACATATGTACTATCGATTTCAATTTTTACAAATGTCGTGCAAACTTTGAGAAAATCATGGCCTGTAACCTTTTGAAATCACTTTGTCCCGTCACATTTGCAGTTTACCTTCTAAATTTCAAGTTCGCATGTAAATACTTTTGTTCACGAGTTATCAGACCAACGGATACAGCGATCTTACATATAAAAGCCCTTAATAAAAGCTCGTTGTAATTTCAGGAGTTAAGAGTGTCCTTTTTACGGGCATTTTCGTCAAGGAGGATAACTTTACTCCCCATGTTGAGGATCTCATCTTGCACAGTAGAGGATTGACAAGCGTGGAAATGTCGGGGCGTATGGTAAATAACTCGCGCATTAAAATAATTTTCAAGCATGTGTAAATGTTTCCTATATTCAGTTTTCTAATAATTCAGTCAACGGAAATCGAGGAACGAATGCGACCCATTTTTGAAGCCAGTGGTGCACCCATTCATTTGAGAAGAAGCGTTCCTCATAACTAAATCAGATAGGAATTTTTGTATATCTTATTGGTTCCTCGATTGTGAATTGGATTTTGGGATGAAAACTGTTTAGTGTCGCCAAGATGACTTCTTTCTTAATGTGGGAAAAGGTGTCATCAACGTACAGCTGCTAGAAGGATATGAAAGGGTATTAAATATTTGTATTAAATATTTCCATTTAAATACTAAATGTTTCATACGCTAGAAATTATTTCTAAGCTGCATGTTTTTTGAACTGTCAATTTACAACGGCAGTAAACCTGGTGAATTTTTCCGGAGGGTTGGCCAAATTTTCGCGAATATTGTCTAATATGCATTTACCTAGTGACGAATCGTCACTGACGATATGCGTTCCGTATAATATGTAAATATCTATATACTTTCATACTTTCATACTTTCACTTTCAGCGTCAAGCGGAGACAAAGTAGAATTTAGTATACATACCGACATATTTATGGTAACCATACTATGGTTATCAGGAGAGGTACATCTGTAGTACACATGAAATATAATCATTTTCTTAAGTTTAAAAATTGTAAATTTGGAAATAATTTATGATTATGTGATTAATGAAATCATTAAGGACGACCAAATTGGACTAATGTCGATGTCAGAGTCCTTTGTTTACTATGCTGGGTGTGTCTCATATGTATGTACAGAGCTTCCATAATTTTGTGCCATAATTTGTTTGCCTAATCATAAGCTAATTAGCCCGGAAACCAATTAAATTATCAATAAGAGCACTCAAAATATTTATTTAAGGTGACTAATTTCCTTGACCTTTTTATAACCTGTCAAATTTAAATTTCTTCCTTCAGTTAACACTATGGTTCACCCCATACATAAGTACATACGTAAATTGTACAATAGTTAAACCATGACATTGTCGCAATTAAAGAAGCTACTCTAGAAAAAGTGTTCCAAATTCGTGCAATATTTGACACACAGTTCAACCAAGAGGAAACTAATTATGAGAAATTATGCATTCCATGCTAAATAAATATACACATTTGTACATACACAAACTCATCTCTATCTTGTACCCATCTACCACTTCTACAGTTGACAGTTCTTTAGTTGCTGCGATTTCGTAGCCCAAAACACCTTGTTCACCATAATTTCTAAATAAACTATGGAAATCGATACTAAACCCTTGTCTCGATCATCTCTCGAGACCAATTTAATATCTATAATCTCTCTCGGAAGCAGAATATCCCAATTTATCGGATACTTCCCCCTCTCCACCTCCAAAACTAGTGACGGGACAAAATTCACATTTTCATGGGTCAGCCTTCCCATCCTTTCCAGCCTGGCAGTCCTCGCATTTCAAATTTTTCTCGCCGTCCACTGGTTCTTATTCGGGAAAAGGATAAGCATCATGCATAACCTGACCCGATCCACGGAACAATACGCCTCCAACATGACCGCGGTACTGATCTGTTTTCAGGTCACGTTCAAAATATCAGTCCATCTCTTCGCTTCGAGACGAATGTTGTCTTACTGGGAAACTTTGGTAACGGATCTAAACCAAATTTCTAGCAGTGATCTTCTGGGAAACTTTGTCATCAGTGTGGAATCTTGGACAAAACATGGGCAACTTTTTAGAAGTGTACGAGCCTCATTAAGGCACGCCATACGTGGAAGTCTTGCCCTTATCGGGGCCCTGGTTGTGCACAATTTCGCCATGTTTTGCATAGTGCATCTATTTTTTAGGGAAAGGCTATCAAGTGAATTTTCCTTTCAGGAGCGGGCTACTGGAATGTTAATTGTGACCGCGTGGAATATTATGGGATCGTTAAACGTTTTTCAGACGATCTGGGTCACGTTTCCGATTCAAATTGTGAACGCGTGTTTGGAAATGATTACGGCGGAACTTTCCGAGTTTAATGAGCAGGAAAAATTTAGGGAAAGGGAAGATTTGTTTGTTACTAGTAAAACGTCAATTTTGAAAAACGACTTGGTAAAAGTATCTAAATTTCAGGACGAGGAAAAGCTACATCTTTGCATCTTGAATTATCATCGGGTAGTTAAAATTTTGAGAAAACATGAATCTAGCGCTGGGAACGGGGTTGCCTTTTAAATTGGGTACAATTCCCTGCTAATCTTGGCCTACATATTTATTGGGGTCATTTGGGCGGCGTCTGGGCAATTTATCACCGGACTTTCGAGACTTGTTCCAATTATACTTTGTACAAAAATAATTTATCACTTGGGAACGGAAGCGGGTAAATTACAGAGTAATCGGAAAGCGGTGATGAAGGTGATGTGTCGAATGGAGAAAAGCTGGATGAGTGAAGACATGAAAGATGCGGTTTTTGGAATGATGCAGGAGTTATCTGGAGATAAGTTGAAGTTTCAGGCAGGTGAATATTTCGTGCTAAATAGGAGACTGTTAACATCGGTGAGTGTTTAATAAGTGATTTACTTTATTAATCAAGATAAGGTTAATCATTGATTGAATTACTTAAAATATTACAGATTCTCTCGGCAGTACTGACATTTCTCGTTGTTCTTGTTCAGTTTCGAGATGGAGAAAGCAAATAGATATTTAGACTGGGGACTCTTGGACTCAAAATCAAACATTTTTTGTGCTTAATTTCGATAAAAAATTATTTCCTTAAAAATTAAATAGAAATTTATTAACATTTTGGAACATTTTGGAACATTTTGATATTTCATAATTAGTTACATATTTATTTATAACCAGTTAAATTTAATAGATTTTCGGTAATATTAAAACAGAAATAGCAGATAACAAACATTTTAAAAACCAAAATGTAAGTCGCAATAAAATCCTATGACGTATTTATTATGAAACAATAGCTGTCTTTACTTCCGGGATTTATTTATTTAAGCATTTATTACTACATAATTTCTAGTTGTTTACTGAGGAAGCATATATGCGTGATATTCTAATGTTCAACAATTTGGCCTTCAGAAAACAATTCTTCCACCGAGCGCATAAGAAAGAATGCAAGAAGGAGGGGAATGCATAAAATATTCAGAAATGTCTGGCTTCAAAATATGCATTTTTAACTTGACATTGATTCAGAGGTATTTTTTACAGACTTGGTCACTTCCTAGTCACGAACTTTCCTTCTTTGTGAACTATAAAACCCCTTGTTGATGGATGGTTGAATGTGTCGCTAGTCTGGTCTACATTTTTCAGCTCTGGTATATGTACTTGAAACTGTTTGAATTTATAGAATTATGGCGAATTTTTGACCGTACAGATTTAGTCTTTATTGGAATTACTGAGTGTGTATTTAGATTATGGTCATTTGTAAATTTTGTGGAAAACTAAGTCCCCTTGGTTTAAGTTACCCAGAATATGAAACTTTCTCTTAAAAAACCGCATCACTAGATTTGTATTCTTCTGTATACATATATCCATAGGTGTAATAAGCCATTAAATCTTGGAACATTGTGTTAACCAGCACATATGTATGTGTACATATTTATATAGGTATATGCATATGCACAAACGTGTATACCTATTTATGTACATACCGAAATTTCCTGGTCGATGGTTAACATTCAAGTTCAATAGTATTATCGGTAGGGGACAAATTAGGAAAACGTATGCTGACTGTGAAGCTGCAGGACGTCAGGAAAATTTTTGTGAGGGCGCGGTTTTTTGACCCCGGTGTGGTGACATTAACTAACATGCTTAACACACGCACATTCGTGAGTGGATTAATGTCAAAATTTAAACATTCGCTCTTTAATATGTAGGTAAGTGACAATATTACTACCGTTGCAGGTAGTGAATACCTAAATGCATAAATATGCAATTCTGCCTAATCGACTGCCTCCGTGTGCGTGCTAACCTTCAATGATACATTGCTACCAAAGCGGTATTAAGTATTAATCTTAGCCTCTTCAAAAGTATTAATCTTATCAACAAATCATTATTTCTCGTCGTAATTTAATTTAACTAACTCCGTAAAGATTTACCATGGCGTACCGTCCCGGGATAATCTTCCTGACAGCGATACTCTCAGAAATATCATATTCTTCCCAATTTGTTTGGGATGGAATATTTGTCAATGCCGATCTCACCTTCGTATTCACGCCAGAATGTTCAAACCTATCGTTGGTGGAAGATGATTTCCACTATTTTCAGGCTGTCCGGACGACAAATCCCTACACCCCTCTGCACCACGTAACTCACTGTCACACCCGATCAATGTTCCACTTCCCAAAGCAAGCCAAATTTAAAGATTCCTATGTATCCCAAGACCTAGATAAATCCACGCGATATAAATCCATCTTCCGGCTTAACTCAAAAGTGGAATAATTTACTCAGGATTAGTCTATTATTGCGGGATATGAAAAGTTATTTGAACGAGCGGAAATATTTTGAAGCTGTGCAAATTTCGTTTGGTGATCCGAAAGAGCCAGTGCAATTTGATGAGTCGACCCCGGTCTCGGTGGAGTTGATCCGACCCCTGTTTGGTATCTGTTCGGTAGTTATGGTTATTGGGGTTGTGCGATTAGTGGTAGAAAGCTGGAAGGGTGCCAAGCTATGGGGGGCACGTGTCGTTGGAGGACTGACTTCTTTTGGAACAATGTGCTAAGTTCTGGACTGGAGGATTCTATGATGTCAAGAGGGACTAGTTGAAATGCACCGAATTGTAGTCGTTGTCGCCAGTAGGAATAGGGCGAAATTATAAAAAGCGTCCGGGAAAATCGTATAACGCCCACACAAGTGAATGAAACATTGCGTACAATACAACAATTTTTTGCTCCTGTTGTAAATAGGCTTTCAAATAATTTTTGAATTTTAGGAAAAAGCCTAATTTTAGGCGACTCGGGATTACTGCCCACTTCAAAGTGGGTGGTGAAGTGACGTATGGGGTGCTTAAGAAGTATCCGGAATTTTTGCATATGCAAATATAAAATAAACCAATAATTTCATATAACTGAAATTTTGGACAGGGAGAGACAAAGATTGAAACTAATTATTTTTTGCTTCAAATGGTTCATGCAACCCCTTCCGCCCAATCTGTAGAAGCTTTTGTCAGACGCTCCAAAAAGTGCTTCGCCACTGTTTTGAGCTTACTTTTTTGCCATTATTGACCACACTTTATGAAATAAGTTCAAATTTTTGGCTGAACTTTTTCTACTATGATATTCTTCAATGGATAAAAACAAAAATTCTTGAATTGGTCTTGCTTTGGGCAAATTTGAGGACGTTGTTCACCTCTCCCATGTTAATTGCATTTGATCCGTTTTCAGGCGGATCGGGATAATTTTGCTTAGATTTATTTTCAAGTTTTGGCTATATAGTTTCCTTGAAGGTGGGAGAGTTGTACTATGTGTAAATAAGCTCATTTTGATAATCTTGGCAGTATATCGTGTTGTATGGGACGATCAATTTTGATGCCTTCAGGTCGAGTCCTTTTTCTGTCATCTGGTTTGTTACCTTTATTTTACTCTTCACTGAATTTATGAGCTTACAAAACCTTGTACGATTTGATACCCAACTAATAAGCTTTAAAATAATATACGTAGGTGTTTTATTATTAATTTTCAAAAGGTATGTTCCGCACTGTTTCTGACCAAAATTGTGATGAAATAACAAACTTCAAATACATTTAGGAGGCTGTGATTTTTTCAACTCTGTGGGTTAACATAAACACTAGCAATAAATCGGCAAACTTTACCTCGACGGAAAAAATGCTAGATTTGCAAATTAAATATCGTAGTGTGATTTAATTTTTAATGCTGGATGGGCAATACGTGTCGCAGATTTATGGTTGAATGCTTAAAATGTACAATGAAAACTGCCCAACACAAAACACAAATTCAGTTGGGTCAAAAATTTTTAATGATGGCGAAACGAGGTCTCGGGCAAAAAGTCGCAAGGACGCTCAAAATCCGCTTCTTCCACAGAAAGGCTCCGGAAACTAGGGGAACCAATAATGAGAGATCCGCGATTGAAACTGTCCTATATAGCAGATGAGATGGGTGTTCCAAAACCAGCAATTTGTTCCATGTTAACTGAAGACTTAGGTATGAAAATGGTTTCCGTCCGTTGGGTACCAAAATTGCTTTCGGCATCTCACAAACAGGATCGAGTCGACTTTTGCAATGCAAATTTTAACCTATTAAATGAAAACTGCAACCTGCTCAATATTTTATTAGTTGCATATGGTACTTGGGTTTACTATTATGACCCCGTGACCAAATAAAAATTCCCTCATTGGAAGCACGAGGGGTTGCCACCGCCCGTGAATTGAAAAGTGCAAAAATGTGACAAAAAAAATGATGATGACCATTTTCAAGGATACCAAAGGTCCCCTCCTTATAAAATTTATTGCTGGAAATACTGCAATAAATGGGGCCGTGTATGCAGGAACCCCGGAGGAGCTGCGTCCTCCGGTTGAAAAGAAACGTGGGGTCAAAATAAAGAGTTGGCCTTTTTTTAGACGACAACGCGCCACCTAATACCTGGCTTTTTGCGAGGGTTAGTGCAGACGAAAATCGCTTTACCTGCACAAACCACGCCCCGTGCAGTCCAGACTTGTCCCTTAGTGATTATTATTCGTTTCGAAACTTAAAGAAAAACATCAGGGGAAAACGGTTTTCGGATGATAATGAAATCAAGTCGTAAATTTTGGCATATTTTCGAGGTAAATTTTAATGAGTTATTGCTAGTGTTAATGTTAACCTACAGAACTGAAAAAAATCACAGCATCCTAAAAGTATTTGAAGTTTGTTATTTCATCAAAAGTTTGGTCAGAAACAGTGCGGAACATACCTTTTGAAAATTAATAATAAAACACCCACGTATTATGTCAGGTGATAACTTCAATTACGGAATCGAATCATGCTCCGACAGTGCAGATTTCTATTTTTACGAGCCTTATCACTTTGGGGGCTGCCACACGAATGGGCAGACCAGATATTTTTTTGTGATTACCCGTTTTTTGTAGCTCATACCTCAGTAGTATATGGCAAATTTCTGATTTTTGAACTAGTTGATTTTTAAAGTGGCTACAGCTCAATTTCTTGGAGCGCGTAACCACTTTTTCGAGGTAGTGGCGGAAAGTTATTGCAAGTAGCTCGCTGGTTTTTGACCTCATTTTTGAACGGTAAGAGATATCGACTTCCGGTTTTCGGGTTTTAGTCAATGGATGTATGTGCTACACCACTACGGTCCTTTCGAATTTGGGGCAAACTGATATCCCTTAGATATATGCGTATGAAAAAATTCCGGATGCTTATTAAGCACCCCATATCTACATTTATGTATGCAAGTATGTAAATATCTATATATACACAGAGGAAAATTTTGCTTAGTCATTGGTTGCTTCTCAAGTTAATTGCATATTATATCGTGTACTTAGATTATTTAATTTACATATGTACACAAATGTTGTGTAAATTATAGTTTTACCATTAAAATCGGGTAAAATTATACTAGCAAGGTTAAATAAGGCTACTAACACAATATAGAAATTAATAAAGTGCAATCTTTAAATTCCAGAGAGTGGCGTACACTCTCTGGAAGTTATATCATATAAGTTGTTATATCAAGTGGTTATATCATACTCTGTGGACACACATGACCATATTTATCGGTAGATCAACTGAAAAATGGTATTTGCAACGTAAATTAATCTTTTATATATATACATATTTGTGCATGTATACATACTGGACAAGGTATTGATCACGTCAATATTTTCATGACGGCCAGAGTAGGACATTATCACGTTGCAAAAAAAATACACTAAATAGATGCGTACATATTTAGCAATATATAAAATGTAATACGGCATAAGTGAATCACCAAGTATAAATTTTTCCGTTTACCAAATTAATTTAGTTTATTTGCTTTCAAAAGCAATTTCCTAAATGAAATGCAATCGCCATTCGATTCCCAACTCTTGTTACTCCATTAGCATCATCATTTAAGGATTCGAGGGACCAGCCCCACAAAATATGAAGAACCTTTCGAAAACCAGTACAGATTTGTCCAAATTTTTTAACGCTCGACAAACCATTTTTCATGCATCCAATCTGAATATCTCAATTTCTCAAACGTTCGGATATTTTCCCGTCTCTTTAAAATCAAAATCTCACATTCCCCAAGTTATAGCCATACTTATCTCCGCCACTAGTTTTGTGTTGGGGTTGTGGGTCCTATTTTCCGGTCGAGTTGACACATCCAGCCATCCGTCAGGCACCTTCAAGTCCGTCACGGTAGCATGGACCGCGTTCATATTTATCACGCAAAGCCTTTCTCGCCTAACTTTACTCGCACAGGGGGGAAAATTAATAAATCTTTTAAATTCCTGCATCTCCACCGTAGAAAAAATATTACAATTAACCTCAAAAGAGACAGAGTTTACGCAATTTTGCCAAAAATTGCGAATTCGCTATGTTAAGCTAATTTCACTCTATAGTCTTGCCGCCGTTGTGATTGCATTACTGCAGTTTCGTAACGTATTATCCACTCGTTTAGAACATCCCGCTGAGAAGAGTGCATTGTCAAATGACATCATCATTGGAGGCGTGTCGATTATGTCGCACCTCAGTATCTTTTCCTTGCTCAGTTTGGAATTTTTTTGCGAAATTTATAATTACTGTTTGAACTGCATTATAGCAAGTATTATTGACAAAAAGAGTGCAGTTTTGAAGAAAAATGGGAAATATAATGATTATAATTATATTAACGACGTTCTGGATTCTTTTACCACGCTTAACCTTCAAGTTGAAGAGTGTAATGTGACGTATGAGGGAAAAATTGTGATCGATTTTTTCTTCTATTTTGTCCTCGGTATTTTTCGGGGTTACTTTGCTTCTCAGCTGGGGACCGAGTGTTGCACGGTGACGTCCCTGGTGTACTTTACAATTCATTTATTGTCAATTAGCGTAATTGGGTGTGGGTTGTGGTCAATCGCGGCCGCATCGACGGCTTTGGAAGAAAAGAGTGGTAGATTTTTTAGGGAGTTGGTTGATCTTTCGGTGGAGTATGAGGAAGGAGGTTTGCTGAATAAGAGTTCAAAGCTGAAGGTAAGCGTGAGTATTTACCATAGATTTATATATTGAGTAGATTCAGTACATAGAGTTAGTGCTAAAAAGTCGGCATTTTTTTGAAGCCGAACTAAACCATGCCCCTGCCCATGCAGAAAAAGAATACAACGAAAATCTCATCTGCTCTGAGTTGCAATTAAACTTGCTATTTTAATTAAGCAAGCCTCACTGGTACTGTGGAATTATTGATGCGGTTCACCTTATTTGCACATTTTGACGCATTCGCGAGAGGAAAAGTTTTTCTTACATGAAAAATTCATATCCCCAAAATGGGAATCGGGAGATTTGTTTGCAAATGAGTACAAATTATGTGAACCGCAACAAAAAGTTTTATGCCGTTTACGCCAAGCAACCTATAAATACTTGGCGATGTTTGTGATTAGGAGGGAGAAACTGAAATTAATATAATTTTTTTCGCGTTTTCCAAAAAAAATCATGCGAGTTTTTAATGGTGTACAAGCGTGCAAGTCAGTTTTTACAGAACTACCATGTACTACCATGAAATCATGCTTCATACCTAAAATCGAGTCAATGGTGATAATTGTGTCTGTTCAGAATTAACAAAATGGTTTATGAGTAGCTCCAGCTAATGACATCGTACTTCGCCGGAAATCCATTGCAAATTAAGACGCGACTTTTTCGCGTCAATTTGTATCTGCCCGTTTCGGTAATTTCTTAACTTTAAGAATGATTTATTCTGGAGTAAATTAAATCAGAAATGAAAATATGCACATATTTGTTTTTAGATCCTGAGTGCTGTAACAACTTATCTAGTAATAGTTGTCCAGTTTCAACAAAACGAAAAACTCTAAGGATACAACTATGAAAATTTCAAGTTATTTCAAGTTGCATATATGTACACAACCCCTGCATAAATTGTAATTCCATCTAATACACAACCTAAGCACGTGTATAACAAGTTAATTTGGAACACGGCCTGATACGTGCATATGTGCGTACATAAATTATTCATGATTTTAAAATAAGTCACAAAATATACATACTCATACAGAAATATTTGTACTAATTATTCTGAACATACATAGATTTCCAAGCGCAGTTTAAGCTTTGGCCAGAGCCTTTTGCTGAATTTTATGGCACATTGAGTGAATCTCGTCATAATGTGGGAGCAGTTTCTCCCTCACGGTCGCCATGTATTCTCCAATTCTTCCATTGTATTTTTTGACGTCGAATCCTGCCATTCCTGAAAATACATACTTATTTATCAGAAAGATTTTCTACAAATTCTACGCATTTTTTAATTACCTGGCTGCTCCAATTCCGCTGCTGCCAACAAGTCAGCGATACTGATCTCGTCCCCAGCGATAAAGCGTCCCTTCGCCAGCCAATAATTTGTGATATCATTTAAGCAGTTTTCCAGTCCAACTTTGGCTTCCTTCGCTCTCTTTTCATCGACCGGTTTTCCCGTCATTTTTGGAATGAGGGACAACGTTTGAAAGTACATGACCCCAAAGTTCCGGGTGCTCAAGTGTTGCCACGCCATGTACGAGTCGACCCTGGCCTGAGCCCGGCTCTCTTTTGGATACCAGTGGTCCGCGGAGGGGAAGGAGCGAGATAAGTAGCGAAGAATGGCGACACTGGAAAGATAAGTATTTTAACACTGGGACAATGCACGCAGCCCTTGGTAACTTTGAAAAATCCGTGAAATGCGTAAACTTATGCAAATTGTTGCCAATATTTTCAAGGAAAACTAGCCTACAAATTTGTGTAACTTTACTCAGCTCAAGGGCGTTTCTTTATTTTGTAAAATTATTTTAAAAAATGTATGTATATGGATTTTATAAAGTTACCAAGGACTGCGTGAATTGGCGTATGATTTCTTATGAGAGATAGCAATTTCGTATGCGAAAATCAAATGTACGTACCTTTCTGGCAAAATAAAATCGCCGTGGTGAAGTACTGGGACTTTCTGTAAAGGGTTGACCTTCTTGGTAAAGTCTTCGCCTTTATGTTCACCTGCAAAAAATTATACCAATTAATATGTTATTACCATCATTTACTTACATATCTAATTATACAGATTTCATGGAACAGTGTGATTTTTTAAGGAAACCAGTCTAACGTAAACTTTTCATATTAATGTAACAAAGAATTTAATTAAAATTGATGAAAATAACCCACCTTTCCCAAGATCGACAAAAACTTCCTGAATTGGAATTGAGTTCATACGACAGTAGAGCAAAACGGCTCGGCAAGGTTGCGAAAGTGGATGAGTAAATAGTTTTAGCGACATTTTAAACCGTGTACTTAAACACGAGATTTCTTTAAGTTAAAGTTGAATGAAATGCAAAATATTAAGAAATTTATTTTTTCCGAAATAAATAAATACGTAACCGGCAAGAGAAGATGAATGTTTACCAAATGAAAAGCAGTATGCATATCATATGCAGCATATACAGGATAGAGTGGTGATAAACATGAACTCTGGACCCTAAACATGCAACTTGTCTTAACATGAGACCGAAGGTAAAATACTTGTATGTATGTACATATCTACATATGTACATACAAGCATTTGTATACAAATGTACAGAGGAGAACAAGCATGTCATACATACTTCTGCATAATACTGTGATGCCGTAACCTGTATGCAAACAGTGTAATACGTAACACATTATTAATTAATAGTTAACAAATACATGTGTTAGTCAATTATGCGATGAATGAAACTTTAATTTTCTTACACACATCAAAGTTTTTAACCTCTTCAACTTTCTCTAGATTTCATGAATATGTTGTAAGTATTTAGCTCTTTACAGAGCATGGGCCATGAAATTTTCAAACGCTCGCGCGAAAAATCTGGCACAACTTAAACAAACCCGGCCTACTCTGTTTGATAGACAAACCAATTAGATAAGGCTCTGATTTTTTTCTACTCCAAGTTCTGAAAAATTGCTCCTCCATGACCATTTTAAGTGGAGGGTACACTGAAAAAGTTTTCCAGGCAGTCAAGGAAAGAGGGTAAGATTTAGCCGAAGAAGAGCTAAATTTAGCTCCAAAGAGTAAATTTTGCTCCAAATTTTCCGCCAAATTTAAATTCTTCAATCTATAACTATGAATTTGAAATAACCTTCACTTTTAAGTTTTTGTAACCACGGTGGGCCAGATCACACAAAGCTGGGCCATTGCTTATTTGTTAAGTGAAACCTGCTTAATTTACCTAAATTGACAAAAGCAACCGTCAGTGCATAATAAAAACGGTCGGTCTTTTCAAAGTCTGACCAAGCTAAATTTAGCCGATTATCAGCTAAATTTAGCTCTTTTTCAGAGCAAAATTGAGCTTGAGGAGCTAGATTTAGCTCCGAAAGCTAAATCTAGCTCCGGATCAGCTAAATAAAGCCGGAGCTAAATTTAGCTCTTCTTCGGCTAAATCTTACCCTCTTCCCTTGACTGCCAGGTCAGAATTTCACCGAAAATGTGATAAAAAAGGCTGAATGCACGTGGGGATGAAATTTGTTTGGCCTCAATTTATAGAATAATAAATATACGAGGTGTTAGAAGACTAGCCATTAATCAGGGACTGCCTCCTCCCCCTATAAACCGCGCCCTAGTAAATCGGTCGAAAAAGCTAAAAACGATGCTCTACCGTTTGATCGACCAGGAATTGCTAATGGGCATTCGCAGTATGGCAAAACTACTAAAATCGAATCCCACAACTATTCAAAGAGTCATTAAATGTGATTTAGACAAAATCAAACTGATAAAGACAAAACTGCGTTGAACCTGCATTACATCACTAATTGTCACTTTTTGCAACAAAAAGCTGTACCAGAACCACCTTGCTGGAGGTAGGGACGAAGAGGTAGTCACAATCGATGAAGCTTTGTTCAGGGTAGATGACTTGAATGGGAGAAGGTCAATTTGCTGTGCATTGTGGAGAAAATGTACAAATTATCTACGACCATAAATTGACTTTGGAAAAGTTTTTTGGGCGAGTGGTTAAAAATAAGCTTTCAAAAGTGTCAGGAAGTGTTTTCATGAAAGAAAAAGCGCTGTAGGCTTGTAGCCCAGAACAAGGGGCATCAGATCGTGCAAGTCAATTATCCAAAAAAAATTCATATGTAGGATAGAAAAAGTGTTAAAAATTTCTACGTAAGGGAGGCCCATGCTCTGTAGTACTTATGTTTGAACATAATTTAAATATTAATTCCACATAGAAATAAGACACACGTGTTTAAAGAATAATTCCGAATTGAAATAAACAATCAAGAACTGTATATTTACATGTTCTAATAGCAATACGTAATCAAGATCAGTACTACATACATACGTATGATAATCATGTGGCGACAAAGTGCAATATATTTATTTATTAAGTAGCGTCAGCTACTTATTGTGATCGTTTTGTCCGTCCGTCCGTCCGTCCGTCTGTCCGTCTGTAAGCAGGATATCTCCAGAACGAGTCAATATAATCAAACCCCGTTTTCGCCATTGTGCTTCTAATTTTTAGTTCTCGGTCGAGTTCGAAAATTGGGTCAATCGGACCACACCCCACAGCGCCAGGGGGTGTGGTCCAAATTAAATTTAACATTAATTTTCATATGGGGTGTCATTTTAAAGGAAATTTCACCACGAATTCAATGGCGTTAAAATTTTTGACCTTGTGACCTTAAGGACGAGGTCAAAGGTCAAAAAATGCATAACTGTCATATGGGGAATCATTTCAAAGGAAATTAGACTGCGATTTCAAGGACGTTAATATTTTTGACCTCATGATCGTTGGTACGAGGTCATATACGGAAACTTTAAAGGAAACTTGAATCGGTCTGACGCTACTTATTTACATTCGTTTGGAGGGTTTATTATTTTATTAACACATATGTGCATATTCCTATTTTTATTTATGCACGGACATAAAACTGTAATTCAATAACGATTTATTATGGAAACTGTGAAAATCTTGTTTGACGCATATATTTATGTACATATGTACAAAGTGGTCTAAACATCTGATGGAAAATTTTGAAAAAAGAAAAGTCTACATTACTGACGAGGAATTGGAATTGAGATTTTTATTACATATTTAACACTATTTAAATAATATCAAACCTGATGGAACATAATGACAAAGTTCTTAAAATGGCGAATTTCAGACGCAAAACTTCCGTAACTGCTGGAAATTCCATTCACCGTGTACAGATTTTACAAAATCTAAATATTTTGAATTACTTACTCTAGAAGACAATATGTGTATGCAAACACCAAATTTACTATGTAAACCCTCACTCCTATGATTCCCTCCCCTTCCACAAATATTCATAAACCACCCCCCGTCATCAACAAAGTTATCGCACCATCCAACACTCGTACCAGATAGGCCAAAAAGTATTTCATTTCGATCCCATCGCGTATGCTATTTAGCGACTTTATAAATTCAATATTAATCGAATTTGGCAACAGTGACTGAAGTATCCTCCTGTTAAAGTCATCCCTACCGTGCCATTTCTTCATCTGCCTTATCCAAACTTTAGAACCGATCGCAGCCTCGGCAACAAAACATATCGCGTAAACCTCCATTAATGTCGTCATCCAAATCATGGCGAGTGACACGGTCACAGCGAAAAGGGAAATGTCGCCAGGGTTTTGGGGCGACAATTCTTTCAAAAAATATACGAAACTCACCGTTGAGAAAAATACAGCAAAAATATGATGCGTACAAGGCATCAGCATTTCTCTTAACATCTCACTCTCAACGATACTCATTATTTTCAGGGTTTTGTACATCTTGACAGAATCTTGGAAAAGCAGGCCGCCCCGAAGCTTCATTTCGCCATTGGATTCCTCGATCGGCTCAAGAAACAGGGTCCACACGTTGAGACAATTAATCGAGTAAATCCATAACAGGAAGCAAATCCCCATCGTGGAAAACATTAGCATGCCACCAACCCCGAAACCGAGCCCGCCCACGATTCGCAAACCCAAATTGACAAGGATTCCGTGATATAGTTCGAAATTGTAGACAGCCCGAAACATTGCATAGATTGGATTTGATTTTGTACAGCCGATCAGGAAGGCGAGAAAGGGAGCCGTGTAGAACCAATGTATGCAAACTAATTGAATCATGACGGTGCACTTTTCCACTGCGCGGGTTACCTTAGCGCCCTTACCGCACTTTGCGTTAGGGAGAAAATCTAAGGGGCATAGAAGTAAAGTAGGTTGAGTCTCATTACAAAATCGATCGATTCATACTCAGGGTACTTACCCAGAAACTGTTTTTCCATGACAACCAGCGTCTCAAAGCTAGCTTTGAACCTGTTTCCTCCACCCGGTCGGATAAAGACGGACGCAAAGAGGATGGACATGGCCAACGCGCCAGTTGTCATGGCGGTGAAGAATATCGTGATTTTGTCCTCGCTCCCCTCCTCTGCTGTAAAGAGGAGATAACATCGTACCGACAATCCAGGTAGGAGGAGGAAAGCTGCGACAGTCCAGATTAATTGGAACGCTTTATAACGCCTATTTTTCACAGGTTTGAGACACTGCGTGGTTTCGTCTAACTCGAAATAGTACGCTAAATGAAATGTGCTACGTTGCAAGAGGACGACTGCCCTCCTGAGAAGTTGGCAAAATATCGTTTCTAGCATTTTAACTTAGGGAAGAACTAACGAGGTAACTCTTTTGGGTGTCGAGCAATGATTTTCACCATATTAGATATGTTTAACATACCAAAAATCGCCAGGTGAGTGCATAACATAGAATAGAAAGAATGTGCATAATTTACTTTGTAGATTTTCTCAAACTCAATTTCCAGGTTGATACATATGTTTGTAAAGGTGTTTTCATAACTGGTGCATAGGACGTGACTACATATATTATAAAATGGCTATTCAATATTAAAATAATTGCCGCATTTCTGTAAGCTGATGCTTAATTCTTTAAAAAGTTAATTTCTATCCAATAACTATTTAAATACTTTATTCTCTGACGTACTAAAAAAGTTTATAACTACGTGTTTGCAAATTTATTCCAAGGAAAGTCAACTCACATAAACCACATTTTACATATTTAAATCCATAATTTAAATTCTTTATATACATACCTGCTGCATAAACTGGGCCGGATCTCAATTTCTAAAACTTTAAAAATTACCTAGGTACGAGTAACTACATATTAGTCACAACTGCATACATACACATGTACATATGTATCTATATTTATGCATTGCCATATGTATACTTGTTGGAAGTTTACGCCAAAATTGGTGACAATTGGTGTCTACAATTGGTCCATAATTTTGCATAATGCACGGGTAATGTAATGATGCATACCTACATATATGAAAATGCCCTGGTCGTTTAGTATAAAATTTGCCTATTTAATGGGTTAATTAACGTAATTAACGGTACCATCTTAAGGCCTTAGACCGGATCCGGTGC